CAAATACTCCAAACGCGTGATGTTGATTCTAAATGTGGAGGGAAAAACCGGAGGACCCGGAGAAAAATCCACACGACCACCGGGAGATCATGCAAACTCCAAATATACAGGCGTCAGGGTCGGCATTGAACCCACAACTTCCTGCATACCAGGCGAGGTAGTTAACATCTCGCCCACGTGTTGAATCCGGGTCCAAAGTGTTGCTTGTCTTGAAACAATGCTGCTCAAATTATGCACTCCCAGAAGGCCCTCCCTGGGGGCTGATCGGTTGTGTAAGAAGTACTTCTATTTTCAAAATCTCTATTTAAACTGGAAGAATCTGATGAGCTATGAAGCTCTTTTTAAATCCTTTATATTAAGTTCACTTGCTTGCTTGCGCGCTTACGACCGTGCAAATCTTTCGGTCGTTTTTTAATCCACTTCCCGTTATCCAATAGAGCTGACATTTTGCACACATACTCGTTGTGCGTGACAATTTATTTTCGTGAAAAAATAATTTCCATAACTTTACACTTTTTAGGAAAAAAAATTATATTTAATTACCAATTGCTTAATGGTGGCAGGCAATCATCTGACCCATAGGTGGCAGCCATCTCAAGCCAGAGGACGAGAGGACTCTAGCCGCCACGCATATAAAGGATTTATAGTGAAAAACTTTGTTTTTACGGGTTAATTTTTTTCAGATTCCCATTTAGACCGGATCAGCAAGTTACGTTAACAAAAATACAACGAAGGATACAAGAGTAAGATAGAGAGAAAAAATTAAGCGAGTCACTACAAATAAATACAAATCAAGCTTGGAAGTACAAATTGCACGACCACAGATGCAAGGACAGTACGACTCCTCGTGGTAGTAGTTACTTATTGACGCCACGGGCACTGACAGGGTCGCGTAAGGACAGCACGGGACCTAAGTGGTCGTAAATAATAATTGAGACAGGGACAGACAGTGTCGTTCTCTTCTAGCATGTGTTCTTTAGCATGTGCACCTGTTGTTCTCTTTTAGCCCCGCACCCCCCCCCCCCCAATACGTTCCATTCATTGGCTACCACACTCAGATAAGCTCCTCCCCCCCCCTTAACTTGTATTTAAGAACTTGTATCTTGGAATTTTTGACCTCACTTGATACAGTAAATCTAGCTGTGACGGTCCCACCTGATGACGGAGACTTGTGTTGCCTCCGAAACGTCGTTATTTATTATTTTATTTCTATTATTACTTTTATTAATTTTAATTGTATTTTTTTTACCTTACGTGACTTTACCGAATAAACCTAAGAGTACGATTCCTTGCAGTCACGAAAGCTTCAAATCTAGAATTAGGTGAGAGAGTTTTCGGGAAAAGGGGCGTGGCCGGGTCGAGGAGTGGATAAAAGCCGGCGTGGGACAGGGCTCTGGGCTGCTGCTGCTGTGGGGGAACTAGGAAACTGTCATCGCCATCGTCGTCTTAGAGCGGGTCGTCTTCATCACCTTGGATCGGGCACCTTGTAGTCTTGGAAGGCGAGAGTTAATACTGGTAGGAACCTCCTGGTTACACCAGTCCACAGGGGATTATTGTGTCCATCCGTCGTGCAGGGAGGGGCTGGGTGGGGAGGGTGGGGCTGGGTGGGGTGGGGAGGGGCTGGGTGGGGATGGTGGGGAGGGTGGGGAGGGGCTGGGTGGGGAGGGTGGGGAGGGGCTGGGTGGGGAGGGAGGGGCTGGATGGGGAGGGAGGGGCTGGGTGGGGATGGTGGGGAGGGTGGGGAGGGGCTGGGTGGGGAGCGTGGGGCTGGGTGAGGGGTGGGAGGGGTGGGGCTGGGTGTGGAGGGGCTGGTCACCCCGTGATGCCCTTATAAAACTCAACGTTTAACCTACTCACGCCGGCTTGTGCCCGCCCTCACAGTCGGGCATATTTGCGGAATACACCACACCGCCGTTGACCCTGGAAAATTGACCAAGCAACCCAACGTTCCTACCAGCTCCCTCCGCAGGAATGTGTTCTTGTCTCCGTGAATACTACACGTCCGCTCCTGCGCAGCCAGCCAACCACATGGGGAGCGTCGCGGAGTGTCACAGAAGTTACCCAGCTGTGTATATAGTCACTCGCGGTGACTCGTTACATTATCAGTGAGTCGGCGGAATTTATTCACAATAAGTATACATATACTGTAACTGAACAAGACGGTGTCATTACACATACATTCCCAGTGCAAGCTTGGGCAAGGCAGCAACTAATTACATGGATATAGACGGAATATATGTGCATGAGACATTGTCTTCTCATTTAACTTGTTAATATAGTTTCCACAACGACACTGATGGCTATTTTTAATATAAAGCGCAAAAGCTATCACGTAAGAGCTGTTAACGTCTGTTGTGGTGTTTGTGCCACTCCACATGATGGAGCATAACACGTTACGAATGTGATCTAACAAACATAATACTAGCGCATGTTCCCACCAATTAATTCCCTACATCGTTTATATTTACGCGAATATCCCGTACGAGTATGTATATACAAATGTACATGTTAACATAATCTATTTTGCATGCCTATATGTGAATATCTAAAAAAATGTAAAATCTGCCAATATGTATATGTAGGTGGCCTAGAAATAGATTTTTCGCCGTTTTGTTGCAGAAGTTCACGGGTTCGAATCCAGCGGGCCACCCTGGTTAATAGAGCGGGTGTATTAACCATACATACGCTGTACACGCTGTCTGATTCAGTGTACGTTAAAATATCCCGTGACGTTATTCCCAAAAGTAGAGCCACTGCGTGTCGGAAGTTTTAAATGTGCACCACACACAACTCAGTTGAGATGATACGAAGAAATCATCGCCCCCTAGGGTGTAAACAGGATTCTGCTGGTAAAGAGTCACGAAACTCCACAATAATAATACGCGAATGAATGGGCTATCTGTAACTAAATAGGGTAATGGTGAGCACATTGCACTTGTTTTCTTCAACATCCGTGCCTCCCTACCACACTCAGTCGATAGAAAGGTCGCACGTGGTGGCGTAAAGTGTGGGGGCGCTGGTATAGCGTTCGATAGTTAACAGCCTCAGAGCCAATAACTACCACACATTATCAGAGTTATGTTCTTTTGTTTGTATTATGACTGCAGGTATTGCGGTCTATGCAAACATGACTCCTTGTAAAAAGGTGTCAGTTTTGTTGCCAGATAGAAGGGTAAAAAACCAATTATCATATTTTTACTGGCAAATGAGGTTCCCATAGTGTAGATGCTTGCCCCGAGCTCTCATACTCTGATGGTGCATTGTCTTTGAGTTGTGCGCCTTTTGGCGTCATCTGGTCCAACCCATGTGAGTCTAGGCTCTAAGGAAAGCTGTCTCGGGTGTGGACCAATCAACTTCAAGGACAGTGCACATTATCAGAGTTATGTTCTTTTGTTTTTATTATGACTGCAGGTATTGCGGTCTATGCAAACATGACTCCTTGTAAAAATGTGTAGTTTTGTTGCCAGATAGAAGGGTAAAAAAACAATTATCATACCACGGCTACTATTCCCTTCACCGATTCGACCGTCGGGGTGCCCTTCAGGACGAGTCGGCCGTCGGTGCCCTCTAAAATAACCACGCACATGTGAAAGAGCCGCTGTGTCTACATTTATGATTGTGAATACTGTGGGCTGCACCATCATGCTAACTTTGCCACACGGTGCTGCATCTTGACCGACCGATTTTAATGTTAGATTGTTTTTCATCACTGTCTCTGTACCTTCCCTAAATCTGGGGTCTATTTCATCTATTAAAAACATTCCTTTTAACTCTCCAATAGACTGTACCCGTGAATGATGCAGTAATTCAATTACGCATAACCTTGGCAAGTCTGTATGATGTATGCTCAACACATTCAGCGTATTGGTGCTGCCTACACCTGCCATAATTTGTATCTTATTTTCAAATGGTTATATTTTTTTTGCTGCTGCTACTGTTGATATTATATTTGGATTTATTGTTTTGTTGTTGTGTTCAGCTCGAGTTAGAACAGCCCGAGCGAGTCAGAGAGACAGTCTCGGAATAAGAGAACAATAAACAATAGTCGAGGTTATTCCTTTGTCCATCCTTGCCCAGCCTCGAGCGCCGCTAGAAATACATCTGCAGTGATAAAAATCTTAATCATAACATCACCAAATTATTATTTTTTATATATAAAGCTAGTATGTATGAGTCCAAATGTGCCTTAGGCATCAGGGCCCGAGACGAAGAATACATTCGGAAATCTCGCACTTTCCCAATCACTCTGCTATGAGAGTATTCGTCGCATGGCAGTCAAAACCACTCCATGTGCCACGTGTTGCGTCGCGCTTTATACCCGCAGTCGAGTTCAAATCGCAGTCGGGGGTCGACTGAGACTATCATTCCTCCTGGGTGGATAAAATAGGTACAACTTTGTAGAAGGTAAACAGCGGCCATCGTGTGGATAAATGGCCCATCGCCCTGACAATGTGGAATTTAAACTGCATCAGGGCCTTCAACGGAGATGAGCGTTTGCCCTTTCGCTCTTTTGAGGATGGCGATATGATAATTGGTTTTTCTACCCTTCTATCTGGCAACAAAACTGACACATTTTTTTACGAGGAGTCATGTTTGCACAGACCACAATACCTGCAGTCATAATGCAAACAAAAAACATAACTCTGATAATGTATGCACTGTCCTTGAAGTTGATTGGTCCACATCCGAGACAGCTTTCCCTAGAGCCCAGTCTCACATGGTGTTGGACCAGATGATGCCAAAAGGCTCACAACTCAAAGACAATGCACCATCAGAGTATGAGAGCTCGGGGTAAGCATTTACACCATTGGTACCTCATTTGCCAGTAAACAAAATATGATAATTGTTGTTTTACCCTTCTATGCAAACATGACTCCTCGTAAAAAAGGTGTCAGTTTTGTTGCCAGATAAAAGGGTAAAAAAAACAATTATCATATTTTGTTTACTGGCAAATGAGGTACCAATGGTGATGGCGATATAACTTCACAATTGTCTCCTATATGTATATATGCAGTATATATATATATAAACTGTATGTGAAAGGCATCCTTGTAAAACCTGTACCCAAAACAGGTGTAAGGAACCTCCGACTCGTGGGCCGTGCACGACCCGCGACTTTCATTCCATAAGTGAGAATTAACCACGAATGCAATCCAAGCTGCGACCGAACATCGATCAACCATACACAAGTCGTACCGCTTCGAACAGGGCACGCACCACGACACGGGCCCCTTATTTCCAGCATCTTAGCCTCACTGATCGGCGACTGGAGGGGAATGTTTTCGAAACTGCCAACAGCAACATTGTGCGTCTGATTGTAGCGCCCTCTGTCACTTCACGTGAGTGTGCGAGGTGTGTGTGCCTGTGTGTGTGGTAATGCGCTACGAACCCGGCGACCCGAGTTCGATTTCCGCTCACGGCCAACACCGGTGACGATTATTTGAACCGGTCCTGGGCCTCTCCTAAGTCGACTCAGCCTCAAATGAATGCCTGGTGACAGTGTGTAAACATTGCCACTAGGGAGACAAAGGCGGCCGGGCGTGGTGTTGGCCACCCACCCCCTCGTGTGCCGTACCGGCCTTCATAGGTTCTCACCAACAGCACTTGCCCCAACAATCTGTTAAAGGCTATACGGGGGACCTTTGTCTTTGTGGTAACGCGTCACATCGCCAACGATTATTTAAAAACCCGGATCGGCCCCTCTGTAAGGGTGTTCCGCAACGCTCATCTCAAACAACAGAGCTCGTAACGACGACCGAAGATCAAGGAGAGCTCAGAGTATACATTTGAACTGTTATCGGGGTGGTGGGGGAAGGGACGTCTCATCAGCGTGCGAGGCAAGCCACAGAGCAGCTACGTTCGCGGAGTTTTAAATTCCTATATTTGGGCTCATCAGTGAGTCATGCCCAGCAGTATACTGCCAATGAGTTCAGGGCTTCAACGCTCTTCATTACTCATTGGGGCTCATCAGCAAGTCGATTGGCAGTTTAAAGACTAGAGCAGGGATCAGTGTTGTACATATTCTCACCCCTATCAGGGGTCATCAGTGAGCCATTCACAACTTACAGACTTTTAGAGAGCTAAACATTTTAATTGGTCCCAAACTCATTAGTGCTCACCAGTGAGTTGCTGCCAGCTTACAAAGAGAGCCCGCAACGCTACATTGCTCCTTATAACTCAGTGCTCTTCAACGTGATCACATTTAACACATTTTTAATTTAGTTTATTACAATATTTTACTTGTAAACTCGCTTGAGATAGAACATATCGGTTTGTCAAGATTTCCGTTGTGTAAATGTACACTAATCAACACGTAACGCCGCATTCGAACTCATCATCAGCGAGACAGACGACGAAGAACAACCCATAAGCGCACAAGTATCATCACAACGCATCACGACTCATCAGCGAGCCCGGTCCTCAAAGGGCAAGCCCCGAGCGCTGTAAAAGCACTCATTTGAACACTCCATTCTGGCGAATTGCCCGATGATGCTGGATGCAATTACCAGCGAAACGTCGTACTCAAATTGTAAATGTTGTGGTTTCACGCTTAAACACACCGGTGGGCTAAAGCAGGGAACTATTTGTCTTTTGTCAACGTGACACTTTTTTACTGATTGGCCGTGTCGGGTGGTGGAGGGGTACGACACATTTATAAATAACGCGATCTAAACCCAAAAACGTTGATTATGAATAAAATTGGTCGCGAAAGCCTACGTGTTAAATTGAACACTCCTCAACGGCACGAGAGACCTCATCAGCGAGCCTTACAGCCGCAGGCACAGCAGTAGCGGCGGCGGCAACGGCGGCGGCTGTCGCAGCCCCGGTGTGTGAAGGTGGCGCGGGTCACAGGAGCGTGGTGCGCGAGACGCAGGTCCCGTTATGCGCGCACGGACCCTCGCACGCCTCGCTGCCCTGGGCGAGCTGCTGCTGCTGGTGCTGGTTCCCTACCGCCACTGCCACCGCCACCGCCGTCGCAGCGCTGCCCAGCGCCCTGCTGCGCACAGCGGTGGCGTAGTAATCTCCCGGGTCCTCCGCGCCGTAGCGCTCGGCCCAGCGCACGCACAGCACCCGCTGGAACGAGTGCCTGAAGCTGTCCGAGAGGAACCCGTAGAGGATCGGGTTGGCGCAGCTGTTAGCGTAGCCCAGGATGACCGCCAGCTGGTTGACGGTGGCGCCTTGCTGGCCTTCGAACACGTTCACGAGCTGCACCACGTAGAAGGGCATCCAGCAGGCGACAAACACGGCCACCACCATGGTGACCATGAGCGTCACCTTGCGCTCGGAGCGCTTGCGCTGCTGCCAGCCGGCGCGCAGCGCCACGGAGCGCATCTTGGCCACGATGAGCGCGTAGCAGAGGCAGATGGCGGCCACGGGCAGCAGGAAGCCCACCGTGAAGGTGTAGACCACGAACGCGGCCGACCACTCCGGGCGAGGCCACAGCAGGTTGCACACCACGGAGCCGTCGGTGTTCACCCGCGTGTCTGCGTACACGACGATGGGTAGGATGACCACCATGGAGAGGGCCCACACGGCCGCGTTGATGGTTTTGGCCACGCTCGGTCGCCGGTAGCGCGCCGCCTTGATGGGATGCACCACGGCCACGTAGCGGTCGAAGGTCAACACCGTGAGACAGAAGACGCTCGTGAACATGTTGATGCCGTCCACGCTGAGGACCAGGCGGCACAGCGAGGACCCGAAGGGCCAGTGCTGCAGAGCGGTGGACGTGGCGAGGAAGGGCACGCTCATCATGAAGAGCTCGTCGGCCACGGCCAGGTTGAGGATGTAGATGTTGGTGGCCGTCTTCATCTTGGTGTAGCGCAGGATCACGTAGATGACCATGGAGTTGCCGAAGAGGCCCACAAGGCACACGAGGCCGTACGCGGCCATGACGGCCACGACGGCCACGGAGCTGGGGTCGAAGAGACCCCACGACCGGAGGCGTGGTGGGCCCACCGTGGAATTCGTGGGACCCGGGTCCACGGGTAGGGCCCCGGTGTCGTTGAGAACCATCGTCGTCTTCTTTCAGCGACTCCTACAGCATACGCATGCTGTCTGTGTTCAGGTCGAAACTGCCGTTTGCTGTGTTTTGTTGTTGCTCCAAGGATGGATGAATAGTTGATGTACAAAGCGTTGGTGGGCTATAATTTTTAACAACTAATATTTGTTGTGTTTTGCTTTTTTCAGCTGATAGCGCAATTTTTGCCAATAACTTACGGTGGCAGCATCGCGTGTATCGGTTCAATCTGTAACGTGTATTCAGAATAATAATTAATAAATATGATGTACGCGCGTGCTAGTTTCGGTGACTGAATTTCCACAGCTCCCATGCAGACCGAGCCTCGATGGTGACTAGAAAAACACAACGCTAACGCTGTTATTCAGGAAACCCTCACCCGCATATGTTCTCAACGTCCCGTACGTGGAGCGAGACCAGCGCCGTGCAATATAACCCCGGCACTGTCAACTGCGACTCCACGCGATCGAGAGATGAAACTCTCTCCGCACGCAAGCAGTCTGTGGACACCCCCCCACCCACCACCACGACATGCATATGTATAGCAGAGCGCTGTCTCAAGCATCACGTGTCACTAAAGCCTCCCCTCGGAATTGCGTCGTGCTCAAGACGCGACATTCATCATCAGACAAGACCAATCCACTGCTGGATGAAGTTCTCCCCAAAGACCCCCCCCCACCCCTCCCACCATTTCTCTCGATAACTTCGATTTAATAATGATCCACCTAGAATTTGCACTCGAGCTGATTTCATCGCTCCATCTCCTTTGGTCGACGTATTATCAGACGCGAAATTTAGTCACGGACATATCCATGCGAATCCACTGCTGTGTGTTGGCCTCCATACGCCGTGCATGTCGTAGGGGTTGTTTGACCATACTTCCCCACGCTGGTCAAGTTCAAATTGGTGAAGAGGGAGCCCAGGACTGGTTCAAATATCACTCAGAAATCGAACCTGGGTATCCGGATTCAGAGTACCCACTCTTTCACCCACTCACGAATGTAAACGATGTGACCGTATTAACACAGACGTGGGCTACCACCTCATAAAGACCACAGTCTGCGAATGAATGTTTGTCTTAATACGGCACCAAGATAAGTAGATACGTACTTTCAGTGTTAATTCTAGATTTGAAGTTTTCGTGACTGCAAGGATTCATACTCTTTGGTTTTTTCGGTAAAGTCAAGTAGGTAAATTTTTTTAAGTGTCGACACTTAAGCGGTGTGCTTTCGCTAAGTTGTCCCCACCTGAAGGACGCTTGTGTTGCACCCGAAACGTCGTGATTTAATTTATTTCATTTTTTTTACCTACGTGACTTTACCTAAAAAAGCAGAGTACTTTCAGTGTTATTTTATCTTTACATTTTTAAATCTTCCCCTTCCCCCTGTATTCCATAAGCTCGCTACATTTGAGAACCAAGTGTTAAATCACCTTCGATTAGCGCGGTTGACTACATATGGTGCGAAAGAAGTTCAACATACACACACGTATGCAGGCGACTACTGCCTGTGATTTAAACTTGAGGCTCTCAGTGGTGCAAACTCAGCGCTCTTGATCTTTGAGTCACTTCGACAATTCTAAAATCGATTATTTCGCTCATGATAAATTATAAGCAAATACAATGCTGGTACGTGTAGGGTGGTACAAACAATAGATGTGCGAAAGAGACGGTTAAAACGAGACAAACATTATTGATTCTTAAATGGAATCGCTACCCCGAAGTGATAAATTCATGGAATCGTTAGGGATCATACGTCTTCCCAAAACGTATTCTCTTTTAATCATTCCGATATACAGGATGTTTCAAAAAGATGGACCCGATTTGAAATCGCTATATCTCTGCAACCACGAACCGCCCATGAATGAAACTCTTACCACTTGAAAGGGCGGGGCATAGAGTTTCAAATAATTACCGCTAGAATTTCTCTCCCAGCGCATAATCAGCCCCGAGCCTCAGTCATTCGCAAGCTGCAGTTCAGCAGGACTGAATCCGTAATTGCGGTGCAGCGTGCGTTTAAACGGCGTTTTGACATTGATCCGCCAATGTCAGAGCATTCTTCGTTGGTACCGACAATTTGAGGAAACAGACTGTTTATGGAAGGGGAAGAGCACAGGGCGACCACGAACCTCAGAGTAAAATGTGTGAAGAAAGGTGTTTGGGACGAATTCAACAATCGTCTCGATGTTGTCCGTACATCAGGTGTAGGGCACATAAGAGCATTTATAAAATGGTTAGTAAAACTGGATAACTCATTAAACTGTTTGTAACTTTGTGTAATTGTAACATGCTGCAATCGTGAAATACACTGCTTTGAAATTGGGTCCATCTTTTTGAAACACCCTGTAGTCGCGAATGGTGTGACATCAATTTGGAAGGATATACTACATATTCCTGTCATGTGCGTATTGGAGTACTTTCTTAAGGGCACTTTTGTCAAGGAGACTACAATTCTTGAAAGTGTGTGCCACTTTGGGAACGCGCCGCAGATACTAGCAATAACCTTGACGAAGATTTTATTTTTGTAATACATCAACCCGCATGTTCTTTGGAAATGGTCATCCGTGCGTCCGTCCCTCTCCCTCCAGTCAGAAAAACTTATTTTAAAAAATAGCATGAGTTATTATTTTATTAACAATTGATCACACCGTCGATACGTACATTACAAGGAGGCACGGCGCTTCAGCGTACACTTACGTTATTGATGCATAGAATGCTAAAAATCCCTGGCAAGAAATCCTAGTGCAGAGAAAAAAGGCGCGCGATTTTAACACTGATTTCAAAAGATAAAAATGAAAAATGACTCCACAGGTGTTATCACGGCACGGGAAGCCAGCTTGAAATGATCAGACCACTCAGGTAAGGCGGTGGTGTTGGTCTCAGTTTTCAACATCACCCTCTGGGCAAAGTTTGGCAGGCATGCCCACCATACATTTAGTATTTACATTTTTATTTATGCAGGAACACAGGATTGTTTTCATCATAAAGTGAATTTCATTCACATGCGTACATATTTGGATGGGATCCCAATTTAGTTTTGGATTTGTTTACATATCTAATTTGAAAAAGACGTGAAACGTGTTTCCATTTAACAATATATCTGTATATTGACTGCTTATTTTGCTCAACGATTTCTGATTTGTATCAGGAAATTATGCTGCTTTTTGGAGATCTGATTCATTCGAGGAAGAATGAGCCTCATGGTAAAGAATACAGCCGAGTTAAAGTAAAGAAAACGATGCCATGAATAGCGTCTGTTCAAGGGCAGTGACTCTTAGCACAATGCTAAATACATCACAGATGCAAACACAGCCTTCACCAAGCCCAGCTGGGTAGATCCATTGGTTCAACTCCTCTACGAAGTTAAATCGTTACTGTCACCCGTGTGTGCTCGCAAACACAACAAACTTCGTCTGAAAAACTTGACAATGCTTTGGGACTCCACAGGGGTGAATAATGCACGGATAAATATTACAAATAAAATAAATGTCTTACACAGTAATTTTGGTGTTATGCCTAAACTCATAAGCACAAGTAACATGACCGTAGCGCAATGCTTCTGCAGACTATAGCACTTATGAGCCTTCTTCAAGGTAGTGAACAACAAAAAATACTGTAATGAAAATAACTTTCTTCATTGAACCTGGCTAATACTACTACTCCTGCATTTCCCTAAACACATGGCAATGATTATCATCCATAACCGATATGTTAAGACATTTGTCAATTAAATGTTAGATGCGTGTGATTATTGGTAAATACATTCAATATAAATGTACGCATCAGAATTGGCAGCAACTAGATACAAAATAAAACTTCACGAATGTCAAGTGTCAAAATAACGCGAACATTTGTGCATATTGCAATCTAGCCAGCGAGTTAAGGGGTCTGAGCAACAGATGGGGGAAAGGGGGGGGGGGGGGTAAATTTGCAGTGACAAAGTGCCAAGCCACCTTTGCATATAGTGTTCTAAAAAAGCAACATGTGGCTTTGAATGATAAAAAAAAACCATGGCACCTCCACGTGGTAGTAATGCGAGCGATCAGAGCAAGTTGATAAATCATGACCGAGCAGCTTGAAAAACAATATTTCCATCCGAATGGTAAAAGGCGGGCAATGGTGTTGGTGTGCAACTACACGAGGTTTAAAATATGTTCTGGAAGAATCAATTTCAGGACTTTCCAAAAATGATATGCACAACACATTTGGCCCGTACATAATTGTGTCAATTACAGAGAGAAGGTGATGTTGTTCAGTACTTTGTACCGGTTGATACGAAGCAACAATGTGAATAAACGTCATTCGTTTCACTTTAAAAGTGGCGTTGCTTCCGGCACATGCCCAAGCAGCTGAGTGATTAATCCCCCACCATCCATTTGTCAGCCTCCGACTGTGAATCACACTCGCCGCTATACATCAAAGGTCTCTTTGCAGTTCAACTTTTTCCGAGCGAAAAGCGGCAAGCAGGCTATGTAATACAGACACCACTCTACACTGTCAACACAATTATTTGACCTCTCTTAGAAGCACTTGGAGCAAAGGCGTTGTTCTTCTTGTTGAGGCAGGATTTACACTGTGGTTGTATTCGTTTCATTTATCTACGTTTGCTCAAAGGCTTTAAAGATAGGCATTTTAATCATAATTGCAATCCGAAACGTGCAATTATGTAGAGATTGTATAAATGCTAAAATAATATAGAAAACAAATTCATTTGGCTTGCATCGGTTATAAAAATGCACTTGAAATTATACTAACATGGCAAAATGCATACTAAACTTCATATTTTTAATTGCATCGAAGGTAAATGGTAATACCCTGATGTAAAATACTTATAAAAATATTTTCAAACTTGTAAATTATAAAATGATCAAGCTCTTTATACAATTATGATGCAAAATGGTGCTTCCCTGGTTCATAATTAGGGTCCACTCGGTCAAGATGCCTCTTCCCAACACTTGGGTGTGGGGGTAAAAAAAAAAACCCTGAAAATTAACATTTCTTATTTTGGAACGTAAACTAAATTATTGCCGCATAAGTAGATTTTGTTCTCGTGTTCATGTTGACACGTAATTTCACGGTTCTTATAAACCGAATAAAATCCCATGTGGTTGTAACATCGGCAGATTTCCCTTGTCCGCGCCGATGTCATCCGTGCAGTTGATCCCAGTCGATGGAGGCGAAAAAGTGGTGCAATCGGATTTCGTCGGCTCCGCTGGGTCCCGCACCCAGTCGCTCAGCGGGGCTGAACTGCAGCAGCTGCAAAAATACAAAAGAATAAACAAAGTTATCTAAAATATAAATAACCCAGCCAGAACATTCATTCATATGTTCTTGTTCCAGACTCTGCAGGAGGTGGGTCAGGCTTGCTTGACTTCGGTGCGTGACCGCAGAACTCTGGTGCCAGTTTAACGACGGATTCTCATGGTCGCATCATCTCAAACTCAAGACTTTACGTTGCATTATGTTGTATGTTGAACTTCTTTCGCACCGTACGTATCCAAGCGTGCCAATCGGAGTGGACTGGGAAGGACAACAAACTAACACAAAAATCAGTTCTAAAGAAATTAGTTTGAAATTTAGATTCAAAAGTGCATAACTCCAGTGGCTTCCTAATATCGGAAGGAAGAGCGTTCCAGATGCCTGCAGAAGCGCATCCAAAGGCGCGCGATGCAGTGACCGTCTTTGTTCGATGGGGAGTCAAAAGTCGCTACGAAGATGACCGGAGTTTGTGTGAAAACCGGAGTTTAAGCAGGTAAGGCCCATTAAGCTAAACAGCTCTTTTACAAAGATGACCACAGCCCAAGACCGTGGTCAGCGGTGGTGGTGGCGGTTTCAGGACATTGCAGGGTGATCTACATTGTTGTCAGCATCACACATCTTTGGTGTGGACCATGTTGGCCTCAACGTTGAACAAAAAAAATACATTCTTTGGTTCTTTCTGTTAAGTCACGTCTAAAGATAAAATACTAAATTAAATAATAGCATATTACGACGTTTCGATTGCAACACAAGCAATCATCATCAGGCATAAAAGAAATAGCAACAAAAAACTAACTAGAAAACTATAGACAGACATACAAGCAGACAAACATCACAAGGACACACAGAGAGAGGACACATATCAGCACAAAGAGAGAGGTCGTTTCTGTGATGGTGCCTTAAATATAGACGCGGGGGCGGAGAGAGGGAGGGGGCAGAGAAAAAAATTGCATATCAATGAGTGGACGGCAACGTGATGCTGCTGCAAGTAAGATGACGACGCGGCACGGCACGCAAGCTTGAAAATCAGGAGAAAGACACGCTAAAATTAGATAATCTAGCAAAATATCGAAATGTAATGTAATGCAACACAGAGAGTCAGTCGTGACTTAACCGAAAGAACCTAAGAATAATTCCTGCAGTCACGAAAGCTCCAAAATTAAGATTGAAAAAAAATACAACCAGCAGACCAGGATGGCTGTTATTGGAATAGAACCTAGTAGGGCAGGTGGAAAAATGCCAGCTGTGGCAATGGTTAAACAACCAGCTGGCCTAATGAGAGCAATTAAGCAGTTTGGAGGCAAGGGCTCGTAGGTGGTCAGGCGACAGGACAGCAAATTATTCATTTGGGAATCTTCAGCGTTATCCCCTGATAAGCGGCACACATCTTACTCCGGGCACATTGATTTTCAACCACAAAAAAAATACTTATTTAGATGCAATTGTTCAATGCAGGAACATGCTGAAAGAGAGTCTGTTGACTTTTTTGGATAAATAAATGTCATTATTATATTTTTATCACGACGACATGAAAAGCTGGCCTTGCTGTGCACAATTGTGCACAGCGAGGCCAGCTGACGCAATCATTTACCTGCCGGAGAAGAGACTGTGCCTCATCGGACAAGTGAGTGGGCAGGCTTAGCTTGGTGTGGGCAGTGATGCCAGTTGGATGGCAGTGACATAGGGCCTGCAGAACAGAAGACAAAACACTTGTTATTATCCAAAGCCACTCCAATGAATTCCCTTTTGGAAAGCAAGAGACCTCCTCATATGCGGCATTTGTTTGAGTCGACATGTAATTCTGGATTATCTGCGGGCGGATTATCCGGGTTGTGAAAACAAGAACCATGTTGGAAATAAAATAATCATCACAAGCACCGGTTCTCGAATGAAGTGTTTCTTGCTGGTTAAGAGTCAGCGACTCATTGCCCAGGAGACCGCACTCACGTCGGAATGTAAACTGAGTAAGGAGCAATGCAAGCAGACGACACATTCTATAAGTCTGTACCTCCACGGTGAAAGTCAAAGCGTTTCCCTGCTCTGATGAGCAAGGAGGGTGGCGGTACTCATCTCCTGTTTGAATCACTGAGCCAGTGGCAGAAATTACACGTTGCTATCCACAGGACAACCACTGTTGACTTCCCCAAGTGGTACTTATTTTCTCGACCCCAGAGGCATTGATGGGCTGAGTTATCACCATAGCTAAGCAATACATTCTATATTCTATTTTAAATAAGCTTGGAATTTTTTCGATTTAAAGCTTTCGTGACTGCAGACAGCGTCTCCCCGACAGACCTGGTCTTCACCTGAGGAAGGCTGCTTGCGTTGTGGCCGAAATGTCGTGAGAATTATTTTATTATGTTTTATTTTTTATTATTTTATTATTTCCCTTCTACGTGACTTTACCGAAAGAACCAAGAAGAAGCTTGGAATTATCCATGTTTTTGTTTTATCCAGACCACCAATTCTCCCCCCCAACCATATCACTGGATAATCAACAACTGACTTTATGTAAAAGCTGAAAATGTGCTTCACAAGCCGGGACCATCAATTGGTTGTCTTTACTTTACCAGAGCTCACTTATTAATTGTCTTCTTTGCAAGTTAGTGATACATTGGAAAACAAATTGCAATTCATCGAATCACCGGGGGGGGGGGGGGGATAAATCCTTACTCGCCCGGTACTTCCCCATGGTTTCAGCTGCATCCCATTTCCAAAACTGTCCTGCAAAAAACACTACAAATCTAAGAGGGATAAGATGAATGAGGCCGTTGTCTTTTTACTCTCAAACCAACGTACAAGTGTGGATGATTAAATGAGGAATCCGGCATGCGCCTTAGTCGACAAGAACGCAAAACCACACACACACACAGAGGAGTGTATTCTGGCAAAGCTGTGTGGGCAAATTGTTGCCACTTTACCTCTCCAGTCAGGAGTTCATAGAGAAGAACACCAAAGCTCCACCAATCAGAGACCTTTGTTTCCTGGTATGCAGCAACGATTTCTGAATGGGGGGGGGGGGGGGGAGGAAAAAAACACTTGTGTTAAGTCAGCTTGGCGTGAGTATAGAAGCTGCAATTTACTTTAATGGCGTTGTTTTTCATAATGTGGTCATCTGAAGCCATCTAAGGACACACACGCACTGACGCAATTTCATCCCATAGAAAACAGACAAAAGTGCATATGTGTGCAAGCGGAGTGTGGCACGGGAATACTCAATTGTGACCAAAAGAAGTGATGCAAGATGGGGAGAAGCGAGGTCAAGTTGGGGCACCACGGTGCCGAGATGTTAACTACCTCGCCTGGTATACATCATGGGTTCGATCCCAACTCTGACACGAGTATATTTGGAGTTTGCATGTCTCTCTCCCCGTGGTCGTGTGGATTTTCTCCGGGTCATCCGGTTTTTCTCTCCACGTTTAGAAACGTGCATTTAAGAGTATTTGGCTGCTTAAAATTTCCACGTGATAAGTCATTTCAATGAGCTATCATTTGTGGCCAGGTCGCTTCTGAAAAAAAGGTATTTCGCTCAGTTGGCCTTACATGATAAAATAAAAAAATAGTTTAGTTTAATTTTAGTAAGTTTAGTTTACCTGGTGCACAGTACATGTCCTGCACGGCTGTCTGGGAGAATGCCTTCTCCACCTCGCTCCACTGGCTGAAGTACGTCACTCGGATGTGGCCTTGAGTCGTAGTCACACGGCATAGTGATAAAGTAAAAGGACAAAACGAAAACAGAAAAGGCAGGGTTAAAAGTAACAAAAAACACACCATGATGGTCAAACAAACTTTAAGAGCATCACTTTAACCATAATTCATGTACAATCATGAAGTGGAAAGATAAAGGCATCAACAAGTATTAAGTGAATCCATAAATCAAACGCGCCTCCATAATTACATCATTAATCTTGCAATTTTGTTTAATAGCGTCTCTTAAACCACGTGTAATTTTTGTACATTAATGTTTAAAGCAGCAAGTGTAAATTAAAATGTGTATCTGTCTACAATAACACATGAACGCTTACTTGGAATTAGATGCATGATTGGAATGATACTGATAGAATGAGGAACACACAGATGAGAGAACGTATGCATGTTAGAAGAGTGGGCTTGAGGGGGAGAGGTCGGCTAAGGTGATGAAATCAGCATCCGTGTCGGAGCTAAATGACCTTATATCATCGCGACGACTATAAAATGATGGCAATGGTACGGGGAGGCATTCATCCAGCAGTTTATAAATCCAGGGGAAAAATAAACATAATTACTATATCACTTTACTGATAAAGTACCCATGCCTGTGGTCAGAAATATATTAATCTTGGCCAGCAAGAATATACATAACAAAAATGTAAGAAATCAAACAATATTGCGAGATTCACACATACATTTACCAATACGACGAGACTGCACGTGGTTTCTTGAACCCAACAGTGCAGACCTTCAAAATGTATTTGCGAAAACATCGCAATACAGGATCCTCCTGAAAATTACTTTCAACTCACTAAGAGAGGTTATATTTCTGGAAGTACAATAACAACCTACTTCTTATATTTTTATGATTATAGAAAAGTACATTTTCTTTTTTTTCTGTTTAAGATGGCATTAAGGGCCCATTATTAAGGTCCAATAAATGATCTTCAGCTTCAGAGCTGAAAACATGGTATAGAAAAGTGGTTTAGAAGAACAGAAGACAGCAGTAACTTCAGAATGATGGCTGTGTTTGAAGTGTACCTGCTTTAAAACAGGGTCTACAAACAAATACATGAAGACAGAGTTGGAGAATATTTTCTAATTTAAACTGGCCCAGTAGCAACAATGGTTAGGGCGGACAGATGTTAGCGAGTCTGTCCCGAATGCATTGCTATGCATAGTCGGTCATGGGGCCTCGTCAAACATGCATCACCACGCGGGTGAGTGTGGGTCGGTAAAGGTTGTAAACCTATAATCAATTTGTTTATCTGACGATTGCCTTCCCTCCCGTCATTGTCATCCGTAAAGTGTTGTCCACGCAAATGGATTCATTAATCGGCCAAAGTGGTGGTTAGTCGCAGGATGTAATATCTGGGCTAATAATACTAAATTAACAATGCTAGTAGGTAGCGTTGGAAATGTGTTTACACGTCTCTTATCGTTTGTGTAATGTTTTGTTGTTATAAAGCTGCTTTTTTAATCGTTGCCATGTTCTATTGTGGTTGTCCTTTACCCCTAATTCTCCCAGGGTCCTCCCACCCTTAAGATCAGCTTTGCTAGCGCAATGGGCTGTCCCGCGGGGATACCAAAAATAAAATACAACAAAAATATCGGGTAGGCCCACACCTGTTGATTCAAGCAGAATGTTGCGAGGGTTGAGGTCTCCGCACACCAGGCCCTGCTTGTGAAGCCCGTCGAGCGCCTGCACCAGCTGTGCCGCCCACACCCTCACCGGCTGCTCGGGCACGGCCAGTGGCTGGCGCACTGGGCAGCCCCCCCGGCTAGACGGGGGAGCCGCCGCCGCCACAAAGAGGCGATCGCGGCGATGGAGGCCGCCTCCGATGCTGCTGCCCCCACCGGCGTCAGGTGTGTCGCTGGCGGTGGAACTCTTCTCCCGCCGTCGATAGGAGAGTTTGGCAGCCTCGGGTTCGAGTCCTGGCTCATCCTGCGACCGTTCATTTCCAATCCCTTTCGTCAAATCCATTTTCTGTGGAATCGCGGGAAGCTCCGGGGTCGGTTCGACTGTCGGTCACGAGGTGCAAGTGTTCGTTTCCGGCCGAAATTGCAATTTGTTCAAAAGCATCGCTCGAGGAATCCTGCGAGGATGCGCAAAAGTGCTTTCCGTTTCCATTTGGTATGTGGTACGTCGCCCCGAAGGACAACTGTACGGACTCTGGGTTCAGTTCAACACTGTGTACGTCCCCAATTATATTGCAGCCGCATTTCTCATCGCCAGCTTCATCTAGTCCCAGCCGGTCCACGGCAAGGATATCGACCACCTCTAGGGGGATATTGACCAAGCCAGGTGCGCTTGATAATGGGTCTGCCAGAGAGTGGCTGCTTTCACCAGCCCTGTTTGAGTCATCGCTTTCAAACGCCACCCCATTACAGAGGTGCTCCTTCTTTTCAGCAGCAATGAAAGGCAAATCATTGGATAGGGCACTCGAATAACTGGCAAAGGCATCCCGCAATTCAGAACTGTCTTTTTGAGTTAAGGCCAGGTAAGACCCGTCGCGATCGTAATTGCAAGCAAAGCCACTGAAATTGCCTGTGGAATTACAGTGGGCATCGTCGGCAAACTCCTGTCTGCCAATCACCTCGAAGGGGTTGACGGTGATGGTGTAAGGCACGTGGTCACACCGGTCCCTCACCGGGCTGGGCTTCAGCTTCAGCTTCAAGTCCGCCGCTCGAACAGGACTCCTCGCACCGTTCTGCTTCTCGGCGCAATCTTCACGAGTGAGTCGGCTGCACGCTCTGGGCCCCGGCGTGCAGCGACGACCCGTCGCTTTGCTCGGCGACCTGGAGGCCGATCGGCACGGCGAGTCGCTGCAGTCCGACGCAGCCCTGGCACCGCACGCGGCGGGCGTCGGCAGCGGCACAGTTGCGCCGTCGGAGGTAGGTATGCGGTCATTGGGGGCGCGTGTGACGCTGAACGCGTTGGTTCCGCCAATGGGCGCCTGGCACGGCGGGAATCGATCAGTCATCCCTTCTTGGCCACTTAAGCAGGCGTCCCCTGCCGCAATGCTATTGTGTGAGAGGCATTCCTTTACGCTGTGGCTCAGCAGGCCACACACATGCCCGCTTCCTTGAGAATCCGGCGTGCCAGCGGACGGAACGTCTGGGCGTGCCTCCCCGCCAGCGTCGGGGAGACACGCCTGAGGCGCATCCGGGTGTGTGTACCCCCTACGACGTGTCAGGTCGCAGCCAACACCTTCGCCTTTGTCATCATTATCGTCGCTATCGCAAGGGTCAGCGACGCCTGTCGACTTGCTCAAATGCCCGGGTGTTGTGCCGGCGTACTGTTTGAGGTTGGGGCTCGTCACGCTGCCCCTCATGCCGCAAGTTACCCTACAGGTGAGTGGACGCTGCCCCACGAACCCCTCAAAGGGCACTTCAGAAGAGAACTGCTTCTTGACATGCGACCACAGGCGCCCGCCTGTGAGAATGAGAAAAGGGTGTGAAATAAAGAGAGACATTAACGCGAGATGGATAATGATGTCTACCTGTCAATGTTTGTAATATTAAGATATTAAAAACTACGCAAATATAAATTTGAATGAATCTGTAAATTCTTAAGTAACTTCTGCATGAAAACAATAACTGGCAATCAATTTCACTTGGGCTCACATCATCATACCCTTTGAACGCTAACCATGAGAGCAGCCATGAGCGATACAATACGATACAAGTGTCCAAAAGCGACCGGATTTCGATGTTTTTTGTCGCCCCCCAGCTCTGGATCGTCGTTGCGTGCCTTGTACGTGCTGCAGCAGCAAGAATATGGAGTCGTCGGTGATGTAGTAGCGAAGCAGTGGCACCATGAAGGGGACGCCCTGTGGCAGCACCGTCCGCCGACCAGGCGAGTCGCCGCTCGTCTTGCGCACGCTCTGCACAGAGAGCACGGCCGGTTGATTATCGTAAGATGTTAAGAACCACATTTGCACAACGAAAACCATCATATTCAATTTGGTTCTGCTATGAGCATTTTAAATACCGGTTTGGCTGCAATTTACTCTTTTGTGGCAGGGCTAGTGGGAAAATGCTGCCCGCTACTGCGTGGGTTAAAGGGATTTTGAAGGTGAGCTCGGTAGTAGTTCTTCGATATCCACACTTCTCTGCGAGACTTCAGAATGGATTCTTTGTCTTGTGATGTGCAACCAAAAGCAAAATCCGTATACAATGAGGAAAAAAGACAATCTTAAAAAAAATTATATACAGTATCTTGAGGTGGCTCAGCTTAGAACCCTAGTATGAACCTGGGTTTCAGCCGTGCACGATTAAACTGGGTTCTCTAAAATAGTGAATATATGGACTCAACCCATTCACGAATGACTGCACACACACAAAAACAAGCACATACGTAGTTTTTACTTAAGTCAACTGTCTCTCTAGCAGGGCAAGTTATCAAGTGCAGAATATCCAAATATACTCTCGGTAAGAGGTAACTCGAAGGTTGTCAAAAGTAGTTTTGTGATATAATCTTCCAGAGAACACCCTGAAGATGTATTTATTTCTGCTAGAGACCCAAATGGAAATGCTTTATTTCTGTGATATGGCAATTATGAGCAAAGATTGAATATAAATGTCCAAATGGAAAAAAGAAAACATGTAAAAACAACGATCATACCACACAAGTGGGTCACAGCAAGCCCTCGCACCACGGGAAATAGAAAGAAAATAAATGACATTTATGTTAACATTTTTCTTTTCTGAAATGTGAAGAGGTTTGCTTATAAGACGTGTTAAGATGTATTGCGCGGCGCTTATTACAGAATGCAAATTTTGATTTGAGTCAAAACACAGTCGACCATATCAACAGCGCAAACACATTTTCAAATAGACGCCCGCACCTAGGTCATCCGCACACGTTGACATTTTAGAAAATTATATCGGAAATCGAGAAGAGGGAGTGTGGTTATTGTTTTATTTTACAGATGCCCAACTGCAAGTTTTCATTTTGGATTGCATGTTTCCACAGCCTCAATTATGAATGGATTATATATATATATATTTTTTTTATTTGGTTCTGAATTAAAAAAGATCTGCCAAGGTAGGATAACTCACCTTTAGGATGTATTTCTCTCCGGTATTTTGGTCTTTAACAAGTAAAACCTAAACAGAACACAACACACATTTTCAAAACAATAAACATATGCACAGGAATACCTTCCACTTTCGTCTTGTTAGGGACCAGAGCATGAACGAATGTCAAAAATGGACGAATGTCAAAGCAGGGCCTTTATTTAGCTTGCGAATTTATTTTGGCCGGCGAAAAACGTACATGCAAATAACTGCAGTAAATATAAAAACGTACGTGCAAATAACTATAGTAACTACATAACACACGCGTGTGAAACCTAAATAAACAGAAATAAAATAAAAATAAACGTAAGAATAAATAAACAAAACTAAATAAACAAAATGATACCTTGAAATAGTTGCATTCTTGTGTAAGTAAACACTGTAGTATTATACTGTTATCACAAAATAACTATGAATTGTTTACAGTATAATCACAGAAATAAGTACAGTATTAATAATATATGAATAAACACAAATATAAGAGATGCTCACTGAACGACTTCTATTCAAAGACTGAACGAAAAAGATGGCGCATGGCACGAACGTCATGGAAGGTTTTGGGATGAAATTGGACGAAAGATGAAAGGCACGTGGATGAAATTTGAAATGTGGTTATAATTGAAAACGGCCGAAAGAGCGAAGTGACGAAAATCAAGTGGATGAAAGTCAAGGTGTCGCTGTATGTTGAACTTCTTTCACACCGTACACAGCCAACCTTGCTAATCGGTACCAAGGACCATCTGTCACAGCCACATAATCAGCGGGGCTGCTGTGTAGACACGGACTCACTCACGCTTGCAACAACTTTTGGTTCTTGATTTAAAAGTGGAATGACAACAGCTATTTCAACATCTCAAGATGGACATCTTTTCATATATCAATAGTATGTAAGATGGATGTTTGAAAAACTCTAATTCAGACATCCCATCGATAGGTCTCTGGCAAATATAACAAAATATAATTACTCCACTTAATGATTTTTTCCAGCTCTTCAGGTCAAGTCATGTCTTCTCAAAACATATTATTGCAATTTGGAAAAGGGAATGTATTCTGCCTATTTCTTGTGCATTACTCATCCTCATAACGCTCTTCATTCTTGAGTTACAATAAACCTTACGCATTTGATTACTATAAATTACACCAATCAATAAAAGTTAAAGAGTCCACCCCCACCTTGTCAAAAATGCTGAGAACTTTGTAGTACTTGAGTTCCTCGGGTGGGCCACTCAAACTCCGCATGTGCCTGAGCCCGAGGCTGCTGAATCCCTGCGTGAAGACGCACACGCCACACACACACACACACGTGGGTTACAGAACGTACAAAGTTGCCACCGAGACAAAGGCAGACAGATCTGTATATTTGCGGCTCATACTGCGGAGTGTGATGGCCCGTTCCCCAGGTGCTGCGTGAAGATACGCTCCGCTCGCATCAGGTATTGCTGCGTCTTCCTCCTCACAGCCTCGCGTCTCACCGGATCCGGGTCCGCTGCAAGTAGTTGATGGAAGAGACATTCCCAGACGTTATCAGCCCGTTGAGCATCCCCACTTAGAGCTGCTACTGCATTGAAAGTTACGCAGCTACGTACATGTATTCTATGTATGTATGCTGATCTAGTCATCTCGGAGGTGCTCTTTAACTACTTTTGTGTGTTCCTTGGTTCTTTCGGTGAAGTCACGTAGATAGAAAATAAAAATGATAAATAGAAAACAAAAAACCTACGACGTTTTGATTGCAACACAAGCGGTTGTCATCAGGAAAAAGGGGGGGGGGGGGTTAGCTCCAAAGGCAAACTGTTTATTAGAGGTTTAGAGATGGGCGTAGTTCAAGTGTGTCAGCAGCATGGGCGGAGCAGGCTAATGTTAATGTAGGAGAAGACAACGGGGGAGAGAGAGGGGGTAGAGATAGGGGGAGATCTTTCTTTCAACATTCAACTCCAGGTTCAGACCTTTCCTCTTCTCCACTACTGTCTTTATTTACAATATAAATATGCACACTATTCCTGTACACCATATACTCTATATAAATCCAAACTGCACTGTATTATATAATTTGGGTCATTTGAAGTCCTGCCCTGATTGAGGAGGTTTTGTTCCCGCAAACTTAGAAAATGAAAGAATAAAATAGTTGAATGCATAGTTTTAAACTTACATTGGATTTAACCTATTCCGATGACGTATGTATACATCTTCAGTTTGTCTTTCGATTCAGTTCCAATGACGTACGTGCACGGAACCGGAAGAAAAACTAAAATAAAAAAAACTTTATCAGTACCAAAGCTCCCACAAGGCCATGCGGAAGGGCACGTGGCATAGATTGGCGCCAGCTATCATGGTGTGCAGTCGTTGCGCGAGAGGTCTCTGCAGTGAGTACAATATCTACATATGTAAATATGTGCATAATGCTTTGACAAATTTCTAAATAACTTAAGAGATATGAGGGTTACTGTGACCCTGTGCTGCTCTTAATTCCCATACACTGCGAATTTAACTCATTGAATATTTGCCACAAAACGGTCATATCAATTATAAATAAATGTTTACTTCTTGCCATTAAGGGAGCTTGTATGCTGATGTACATTTTGTTATGCCCCATCTATGTATCTGAACTGCAATTTGATTTTCATTAAGCCAGTTTGTTTGATATAAACTATTAAAAATAAAAACAAGTTATGTATCAGGTAAGGCCCACATAGCTACATAGCTCTTTTGCAGAAGTGACCGGGCCAAAAATGATAGCTCACCGAAGTTGCTAATGTGGAAATTTATAGCAGTGAAAAACCGGAGGATCCGAATAAAAATCCACGCAATCACAGGGAGAACATGCAAAATCAAATATGAAGGCGACAGGGTCGGGAATGAACCCAATACCTACTTTATACTTCCTCACCACCATGGCGCCCCTAACAAGATGGTAACAAGAGAGTATTTCAAGAGCTGCAATTAGCCAAATAAATGTGACAGATATTTTGAGCAGCCATTGGTAATTAAAGGCAGCTGCCTGGATTGACACCCAGGTCTCAGCGGTGCCAGCTGCCCTCAGAATTGAGTCATCTGGCCGCTTGGCTATTTTAATCTTAATTGTATATCGTTTTCCCTTTTCCAAGCTTCCAGATGGCAGCTGCCTGGATGGTACAAAACAAAGGGCACATGCATCGGTGTGTACGGCAAGCGGCGATTGTCGCCAGCCCATACCTTGCACGCCGCGCAGCAGCAGTCCCACGCTGCTCTGGTAGTGGTTGAAGGCCCCCTCGTAGCGCTCAGCTGCCTCCGCCTCCAGCGCCAGCCGGATCTGTGCGGCCGCCTGCAGCAGGTAGGCGCCCTTTCCGCTGGCGGTGTCGAAGCCGGCTCTGCGCGACGGTGAGCCGCGCACGCGGTCCAGGTATGACGCCGCCTTGGACAGTGGCCCCGTACCGCTGCTGACGCCACTACCACCGCCAGGGGGTGAGCTTTCTGGGAAGGCCATGGCGCCTGTAGGAGGGCTGCGTGACCCACGGTCGAGGCACGCAGGAGCTCCCGGCTTGCTCAATTCTGACAACACAATTTCAGACAATTGGTTGTAATTTACCATGAAAATTGCGCATCGCTAAAACGACCGATTTTTTGATGCCTGAAATCAAAATTAAATGGTGCGTTTTATTGTTTCCATGTAGGATGGCATAAATTACTTGTTTTCATCAAACAAAATAAATTGTATTTTATACATATATATTGCTCCACAGGCATTGAAGCAGTGCCAAGCAGTTTGTTTATTGCAGTAATAATTTTATTTGCAAGAGATATAATGGTAGATGGAATACAGAATGAACTCTCAGGAAAAGCATTCTGCCAAATTCCAAGGAAAACTCACGTTTCAATTAATCTGTGTTCACGTACCAGTTAACATTGGACATCATTTCTAGCTGAATGGAGGCAGAAATCGAGTATCTTGTTTTCTCGTGAGTGCAATCACATTTGAGATAAAACGCAATTACCTGAAGCAAGCTCTTGCCTTCAAAATACAACTAGCTGTACTACCCGGCTTCGCCCGGGACTTGTATCCACCACGGCCGGCCGCCTTTGTCTCCCCAGTGGCGATGTTAATACGCCACACCAGCTACTCGTTTTGCGGCTGAGTCCCTCCCTCACCACTCTCCCTCCCTCACCACTCTCCCTCCCTCACCACTGTCCCTCCCTCACCACTCACGCACGGCCGCCTTTGTCTCCCCAGTGGCGATGTTAATACGCCACACCAGTTACTCGTTTGAGGCTGAGTCGACCTAGGGGAGGTTCAAATAATCGTCACCGGTGGTGGCCGTGAGCGGGAATGGAACTCGGTTCGCCGGGTTTGTAGCGCAGCGTAGCGTTAACCACTAAACCCACGGCTCCTCACACACCACACACGCACAGACACACACACAGACACACACACACAGACACAGACAGCACGCTAAGCACTACACTACCGTTCCCCCTACACAACACACGCGCGCGCGTCCATAGGTACACATACACGCGCTTGCTGCAGACACACACGACTTTCAGGGTGCGTACGGCAGTAAACGACTGAAAAAAGAAAGCGGCAATGCTGCGCGAGGAACGCCTTAGACCTGCAAACACATTTGTGTAATGCGAGCGTAAACACACAAACACATACAAACACATACATACACATACATACACACACATACACACAAACACATACACACACATACATACACACAGACATACACATACACACAAACACACATACATACACACAAAAACATAGACAATACACACACACATACATGCAGACACACAGACAGACACATAACACACATACATACACGCAGATACATACACAGAAACACATACACACAATACATAGACACACACATACATACACACAAACACATCCACAGACGTACATACACACATACATACAGACACGCAGACATACACATAAACACATACAAAAAAACGCACGTACATACACACACACATACATACACACAAACACATACACACACATACATACACACATGCATACAGACACGCAGACATACACATAAACACATACACACATACACATGACCCGGCCTCGCCCGGGACTTGGATCCACCACGCTCGGCCGCCTTTGTCTCCCCAGTGCCGATGTTAATACGCCACACCAGTTACTCGTTTGAGGCTGAGTCGACCTAGGGGAGGTTCAAATAATCTTGACCGGGGGTGGCCATGAGCGGGAATCGAACTCGGTTCGCCGGGTTGGTAGCGCAGCGTAGCGTTAACCACTACACCCACCGCTCCTCACACACGACACACGCACAGATACACACACAGACACACACACATAGACACACGCAGACACACACAGACAGACACACGCAGACACACACAGACAGACACAGACAGACACACACACACAGACACACAGACAGCACGCTAAGCACTACACTACCGCTCCCCACACACCACACACGCACACACACAGACACACACACAGACACAGATAGCACGCTAAGCACTACACTACCGTTCCCCCTACACAACACACGCGCGCGCGTCCATAGCTACACATACACGCGCTTGCTGCAGACACACACGACTGTCAGGGTGCGTACGGCAGTAAAAACTGAAAAAAGAAAGCGGCAATGCTGCGCGAGGAACGCCTTAGACCTGCAACACATTTGTGTAATGCGAGCATAAACACAGAAACACATACAAAGACATACACACACATCTATACACACACATACACACAAACACACACATACATACACACAAAAACATAGACAATGCACACACACATACATGCAGACACACAGACACATAACACACATACATACACACAGATACATACACAGAAACACATACACACAATACATAGACACACACATACATACACACAAACACATCCACAGACGTACATACACACATACATACAGACACGCAGACATACACATAAACACATACAAAAAAACCCACATCCATACACACACACATACAAACACACAAACACATACACACACATACACACGCATACATACACACAGACATACACACAAACACACACATACATACACAGAAACACATACACACACGTACATAGACACATACATTCAGACACACAGACATACACATAAACACGTACAAAAAAACCCACATACATACACACACATACATACACACAAACACATACACACACATACATACACACATACATACAGACGCACAGACATACACATAAACACATACACACATAGACATGACCCGGCTTTGCCCGGGACTTGGATCCAGCACGGCCGGCCGCCTTTGTCTCCCCAGTGGCGATGTTAATACGCCACACCAGTTACTCGTTTTGAGGCTGAGTTCCTCCCTCGCCACTCTGCCTCCCTCACCACTCTGTAGAGGACGTGAAATTTGTATGAATTTACCTCAGAGTGGCGTGGTGGGTGTCGAGGCCTAGCACCGTGCAGAGCCTCCCGCCTCGCCTGATTTTCCCACCCGGCGAACGCTGGGTACGGGTGGCGTTCTTTCCCCCCGCCCCTAGCGCTCGAACAATACTGTGAAATGGCTATTATTTAATTATTTACGAAGCCTATGAAAGTGGCGAAGGCGTGGCTAGCCGTTGGCAGGGGCAACCGCCGTCCAATGAAAGTGCAGCCCTTGGCGAAGGCGTCGCTAGCCGTTGCCAGGTCCAATGAAAGCGGCGAAGGCGTCGCTAGCTGTTGCCAGGGGCAACCGCCGTCCAATGAAAGTGCGTATGGTCCGAAATCCACACACACACAGACAGACAGACAGACATTCACGATTTTATATATATAGATAAGCCTGACATTGATGGCTCTCTCAAATGCCAGGTGAACAAAAGAGAAAATAGCAAACGGAAGCATGCTTAACTCACCTTTTATTTATTTTACTTTTTCCAAAAAAAATATATTCCACTTGCACCCTAAGTATCTGTCATGCCAACATTTCCAATAGGAACTCTGCAGCTCGCAGTGCATGACCCTGTGTCAAAGAACGGCTCCAGAAGAGGTGATAATGCAGAATTGCTGCTGAAATAATGTCAATGGGGGTCATTTAACCATACTTCACCAAGCCCCTCTGTATGGGTGGAAGGTAGGGAGCATAGCTGTAGGAGCATTTAAAATACATTAACACGGAACCCAAAAAAACTCCTATGGCTAAAATACATTACTCGGATGGATTTTGCCACATTGCCCTCTGCTGTTCACCACATGGCCCCACAGCCAAAAACACCCTGATGCACACTGTGATTAACCAAACATCAACGATCCACGCTCAAACCGGCTTCTGTAATCTGATGAGGTCAGGTGCATTCCACATGATTTGGTCATAGATACATACATGATATGAAATGCTAAGGCATTGTGCTGTAGCCCAGAGACCATACCAGGAGTCTGAGCACCGGTTCCATCATGCGGCAGCCGAGGGCTTTCACGAGTCTCTGTGGCCGTCCTTCCCGATAATCTGGTCACTCTGGACACATGCTCCAGGCCATGGCCAGAGTACCAGCCCTGGTCAGTCCCAGGACTGGGACCCGGGCCAAGAGGTGGCACCAGGGGCAGCCACAGGCCGTTGCGAGTCGTCACCCTCTGCAATGGCGCACAAGTTTGGCCGACGCCTCCCTGGAAGGCAAGTGCGGCACACCATGCAAAGCAATGCTGCATCACAGAATATAATCATCTTCATCCTTATGTAATAAGAGAGCGCCATCTCCTGGATTATTGTGGGGGGTATATTACTTTATACAGTCTATGTGTATCTAAGGTGAGCATTACATCTAGGTGAAAGTTGATGGGGCGGATCCACCAGGGAAGCCTCTGGAACGTTCCCGAAGGTTCCAGGAGGGGCGTGGCCAGAGGCGGGGCTTAGCCTCCGGGGAGTGAATATAAGCCGGGGGCACAGCAACGTTAGGGGTCGGTGTTTGAAGATCAAGAGGAGCTACCCGTTGCCGTCTCCACCTGCCACCTGGCGGCTCGACCTCCGGCCGCACCCTTGCGCGCCGTCAGCCAGCAGCGTGTTAGAGAACGGGTGAGCGCCACGGGGCAGCGTAGCCACCCAAGCGGGTGGATGTCCGCAGAGAGAGAGCGAGAACAAGTCTGTACCGAAGATTTATTCATAAAAAACTTCAAGTTTTTACCGTGTCGGAGCCACTCATTACACTTGCATAGAGATCTATAGACTTAACATACTCCTACAAGATCCATAGGCTTATATGTTTTTCTCAGCCAAAAGTCAAATTATCGCATGAGGTCAACTGCTCATATATTTTTTCTACACAAGCTTCTATTCCATGCCTCTTCTCTCATCACATCCACTGTCCTCAAATCTTGTATCAATGCATCCTTCCATCTCACCCTCAGTCTCCCTCTCCTTCTGCCCTGGCATGTACATAACCCGTCTAACCTATGAGTCTGTGTGAGCCTATCGATCTTTAGTCTCCATGGCCCTTAACATTTTATCTTCCTCCGTCTCTTCTCAACACCTGCCCAAATAATCTAGTCTTCCCTACCTTGTCTACTCGAGAATATAGAGATGTTTATAACATATTTTTTATCATCTATATTGGTGACCATCAGGCATAACAATTCACTTTGTTTATACAAGGCACTCATGCTTATTGATTTGACCTGAAGCTTCAAAAAGATTACAATGACACATGGAACATGCTCTGCTTTTCCCAAATATTTCTGGAATGCTATTCTTATCATTGGCTGTACGCAGAACACTGACAGTGTCTAGATTAAAATCATCTTGTTTTTTCAAAGATATAAAACATTTTATTTGAAAATAAAGAGCATAGGTATATCTTTGGAAATTATTGAAGGCGGACCAGTATAAAAACGATGACAAAGATATGCACAACAGTCGAGTGAAGTACCTGAGAATGAAACGCAAGATACAAAGTTACTTGAAGAGTTAGTTCAAAGCATATCATCTGTTGAAACATATGGGTCGGAAACACGGACTCTGACAAAGAACATGGAACAATAGAGCCGAACAGTACGCCAAGGAGCACGGAGAGGAGCATGCTGTAAATTACCCGAAGGTACAGAAAGAGGAACACATGGATTGGAGAACAAATGCCAATTACAAGCATAATCTTGATCTTCATGCAGCAGTGAATATAAAGTGAAGTTGATAAAGTGTAGAGATGCATTCTTGGAATTACACTGACAAAAATAACATATTGACTGTGAAGAAAAGTGAACTTTGGTATGACATCACAAGAAGGGACATAATAGCAACCAAAGGTGGGAACAGTCCCCAAAGCATTACCACTGCAGAGATGTAGTGACAAGAGCAGCTCATGTGCAACAGGGAGACATATTGCGGCGTTGCAGGGTGGCAAAGCATGGGGACGACGCGGGAAGGCCTTTGCCCAGCAGCGGAAAGAACATGGTCGATGATCATGACGATATTCAAGTTGGAATACGCAGATTAGTAACCGTGTGTGAACTCCACCTACTTGGAAAAACACACGGATCTCGTGGCTCTGGTGAAGCGCGGAGACGGTGACTGAGAACTGCAAGAGGTCCTCTGCGCGCTGGCGTCGCTCCTCAATCAGGCGTGGGTCAAACCGCCCTGCACGGCAGGATCAGCGGCGCGGGAGTGCAACGTTACACACGGCGGGCACCGCGCTTGTCTGCGCCCTGTATATCATAATGATCCATGCTCCCCCCCCATGCCCCCAGGTCCCAGAAATAAGCTGGTGGTCCATACGCAGTCTGTGCTTCTTCATAAACAGAGTGCACAGAGGGTTGATGTTACTTTAAGCAAAAGATAGGGGTTTTTTTTTACACACAATATAACTCTAAAACAGTTTGTCTATTATCACATTGTATGAACAACAGAAAACCGATGGATGACAATCTATTAATCAATACTTTTCCCAGTTGTACTATATAATTCTAGGCACAATGTCCTAAACGTCAACCATCGTGCCAGACAACACGCGATACAACTAGAAAACACAAGAGGATTTTTTGGGTTAGAGCGCGTAAATATATATTTACGCAATCGAACCCAAAAAAACCCTCTATTGTGGATATTCGTCGCGAAGGCCTATGTGTTAAACAATTACAAAACACATCGCAAAGCAAGCAATATTATCTTTCTACCACAGAAATCACTTTTTGGTCTCATTGGGCACAAGGTCCTCAAAAGGCATTCTCACAGAACCCGAAGCCATTCCAGCCCTTACCCAAAAGCCTGTTTTTGGGGAACGGGGGAAAATCGTCGGCACGCAGCTGCAAAGTGCTATAAATAGCATAAAGGGCCTTGTGTAACCTCTTGATGTCCCGGTAGCGCTTGCACACCTCTAGCTATGAGGGCGGAGGCTCGTTAAGTGGTCACACAAGGGTGAGGAGCAGGGGGGGGGGTCGCAGGGAAATGGAACAATGGGAGCAGGAAAAGCACAGGACATGGGTTGGAGGCCAAAATAAAAGGTTACGAAGAGGAAACAGAAAGTAAAGAATGCGTGTTAATTCAGTGGTTACAGATGGCAGTGACAGCACAGTCAAAATTAAGAATATATTGAATAAGAATAGTATGGACATGGTATACAACGCTAAGCAGCTTAAATACAAACAAGTGGATTACTTGCATGCATGAAAGACGTGCACTGTTTTATGAGTTACCGACGATTCAAACGTTTAATGACAAACTGCATGTTTTGTGTGTATGGCTTCAGAGAGACGAGACCAGAAAGGTAAGTATAAACCTCTTAGTTCCCATTGACGTGACACATGATATGGCTGTATGGTATGTGTTGTGCACACGTATAAAGTGAGCTTCAAGGGTGCTTCACCCAGAGAAAGACCACCATTTGAGCTGCCCAGAACGATTTTTCTGCCTGCTTGAGAACTGCAAAAATATGCCTTTATAGTTCAGCTGTCTACTTGTTGACCTAAGTGATAAATGAGCAGCAAGTCCAGTACTTTGAGCAAACTTTGAATGGAAAGTGATAAGCTGACACGTTCTCTCTCACACGTGTGCACACACACACCTTAAAGACATCTTCGGCATTTGACCTTGACACGATCTGTGGATTAAAACACATCTGTGAATTTGACCATAATACAGAGCACACCACAAGTTTATACAACAGCTGAAGGCTCAGTGTTTGCACACTGTACTTGCTGTGACAGATCAGCAGCCATGTGGAGGTTAAGCCCGCTTGCCTCCCTGTTCACAGATACCAGGCTTGACTCTGGTCGCCGGTTGCGTTAAACAACTTAATTTAAATATCTCCAACACGTTTCGGTTATAAAGACCGGAAATTGGGGGAAATTGTCAGTGTAGAAATATTATTCAATATATTTAGAAGTAGAAAAATAAACTTGGGTGGATCGATCCCTCCATCACTATCAGGGTAAGATTGCTGTAATATAAATTCTGCAATGGAATGTGGTGGATTCAAATGTGAAATCATTTGTAGATATGACAACTTTCTATTTTCAGTAGCCAAAAGTAAAAAATTAACGGTGTTGCTCCTCGTGCTGCCAATTAAGTTTACCGAAGTGATAACAACTTTCGGGGTAATTCTCTAAGGTGGCGCACTGCCCATTGCGAGAGTTTCACATGGACATTTCTTCCTTTCAAAAGGTCAGGAGCAGTGCAATAAAGACACAATTTACAATAACTGACGCATTTTTGTTTGCTCATTCCGCGAAGCTTAAAAGAGCCAGGAGCTGTTTGTATTTTTGCCTTTTCCTCTTGTAAACACAGTGGTGGTCATCTTGGTCTCCCATGGCCACTGACCACCGCGTTTTGTCACGCAAACTTTGAGGTGCCAAAACTGCAACACTGCAAGTAGGATGCAGGGTATTCCCAACTCAAGAGCTGCTAGGTTTGTCGTTTCCTTTTCACTTCTAAATTAACAAGTGGCGGCCAATTTAGTGATCTCCCCCGAGGTCACTGACCACCAAGATGGCCGCGCGTTGTCACGTGAACTTTGAGTGCCGAAACTGAAACACTGCAAGTAGGTTGTGGGGCATTCCCAACTCAAGATCTGCTTGGTTTGTGGTTTCGTTTTCACTTCCCAAATTCACACCAAGTGGCGGCCACCTTGGTGATCTACCCCTGCGGGTAACTGACCACCAAGATGGCCGCACGTGACGTCACGCGAAGGTTGCGGTGCCGAAACTGCAACACTGCAAGGAGGTTGTGGGGCATTCCCAACTCAAGAGCTGCTTGGTTTGTCGTTTATTTCCCTCCTTTTAAATTCACACCAAGTGGCGGCCACCTTGGTGATCTACCCTACGAGTAACTGACCACCAAGATGGCCACGCGTTTTGTCACATTAACTTTGAGTGCCGAAACTGCAACACTGCAAGTAGTGCAAGTAGGTTGTAGGGCATTCCCAACTCAAGATCTGCTTGCTTTGTCGTTTCTTTTTCACTTCCTAAACTAACAGCAAGTGGCGGCCACCTTAGCGATCTCCTCTAAGGTAACTGACCACCAAGATGGCCGCGCGTTTTGTCACGTGAACTTTGCGGTGCCGAAACTGCAACACTGCAAGTAGGTTGTAGGGCATTCCCAACTCAAGAGCTGCTTGCTTTGTGGTTTATTTTCCCCTTTTAAAATAAACACCAAGTGGCTGCCACCTTGGTGATCTACCCTACGAGTAACTGACCACCAAGATGGCCGCGCGTTTTGTCACATGAACTTTGAATGCCGAAACTGCAACACTGCAAGTAGTGCAAGTAGGTTGTGGGGCATTCCCAACTCAATAGCTGCTTGGTTTGTCCGTGCATCTCCCTCCTTTTAAACTAACAGCAAGTGGTGGCCACCTTGGTGATCTCCTCCAAGGGATCTGACCACCAAGATGGCCACGCGTGCGTGACGTGATACGAATCGAGCGGCGCGACGACGTCGAGGCGAATACAAAACAAAGGCGCGGGGTTTCTAGTCGACGGGCACAACAAACAACACAGCACTCAGTGTGGTAGAGAAGTAAATAACAACTCGTAATGTCTGTATTGTACACAGCGACAATAACAACAACAACAACGCGTGGTGCTACGTGGCCAAGCCGGGCCACGAGCGCACTTCAAAACAACAACAACAAAGGTCCCCCGTACAGCCTGCTTCGACTACTAGGGGCAAGTGCCGTTCGCGAGTAGCACCGGCACGGCACACGAGGGGGTGGGGGGCCAGCACCACGCCCGGCCGCCTTTGTCTCTCTATCGATATTTACACACACGCCGCACACCGCAGCAGGCAACTGATTTGAGGCCGAGCCGACCTAGGGGAGGCCCAGGACCGGTGTTGGTGGCCGTGAGCGGGAATGGAACTCGGGTGGCCGGCTTCGTGGCACCACCACCACCACCAACAACATCACAGGGGACGCGGGGATTTGTTGTTGTCGCCTGTTGTGATTACAAAACGGCGAACTAAAAACAAACCTAACCAACAATTACGTGTAAAAGATGCGCGCGGTGTAGGGAGGAGGGGTGGTGGTGGTAGTGGTGGTTAGCTGTCGTGGGTAAATACGTGAGCGGTGACGGCGAAGAGCGAGCGGCCCTTGTCGGAGACGGTGTAGAAGCGGGCGAGCTCCACGCTGCCCCAGTCGCCCGCCATCCCCATCACGCCGACGCCGCCGACAACGTGGTGGGGGTCGATGCCAGAATGTGGAGGGGAAACCTCCAAGCCCGGGGGGTGGAGGGGCGGGGTGGTGGAGGGGCGGGGGGTAAAGGGAGGGGAGTGGGGGTGGATGCCAGAATATGGAGGAGAAACCTCTAAGCCCGGGGGGGTGGGTGAGAAGGGGGGGGTAGAGGGTGGGGAGTGGGGGTCGATGCCAGAATGTGGAGGAGAAACCTCTAAGCCCGGGGGGTGGAGGGGCGGGGTGGTGGAGGGGCGGGGGGTAAAGGGAGGGGAGTGGGGGTCGATGCCAGAATGTGGAGGAGAAACCTCTAGCCTGGGTGGTGGTGAGAAGGGGGGGAGGGGCGGGGGGGAGTGGGGGGTGGGGTGGAGGGGCGGGGGGAGTGGTGGGGAGGGGCGGGGGTAGGGGGGTGGAGGGGAGGGGCGGGGGGGGTCGACGCGCTGCGCTACGAACCCGGCGATTCGAGTTCGATTCCCGCTCACGGGCCACCAACACCGGTGACGATTTATCTGAACCGGTCCTGGGCCTCCCCGAGGTCTACTCAGCCTAAACAAATTGAGTGGGGAGGGGCTGGGTGGGGGGTGGGAGGATGGGGTGGGGCTGGGTGGGAGGATGGGGTGGGGCTGGGTGGGGGGTGGGAGGATGGGGTGGGGCTGGGTGGAGGTTTGGAGGGGTGGGGCTGGGTGGGGAGGGTGGGGCTGGGTGGGGAGGGGGTGGGAGGGGGGTGGGGCTGGGTGGGGAGGGGAGGGTGGGGCTGGGTGGGGAGGGGGTGGGAGGGGGGTGGGGAGGGGCTGGGTGGGGAGAATGGGGAGGGGCTGGGTGGGGCTGGGTGGGGGTGGGAGGGTGGGGCTGGGTGGGGGGTGGGGCTGGGTGGGGAGGGGCTGGGTGGGGAGGGGCTGGATGGGGAGAATGGGGAGGGGCTGGGTGGGGAGGGGCTGGGTGGGGGGTGGGAGGGGTGGGGCTGGGTGGGGGTGGGAGGGTGGGGCTGGGTGGGTGGGGAGGGCTGGATGGGGAGAATGGGGAGGGGCTGGGTGGGGAGGGGCTAGGTGGGGAGGGTGGGGAGGGGCTGGGTGGGGGTGGGAGGGGTGGGGCTGGGTGGGGAGGGGCTGGTCACCCCGTGGTGCCCTTATAAAACTCAACGTTTAACCTACTCACGCCGGCTTGTGCCCGCCCTCACAGTCGGGCATATTTGCGGAATACACCACGCCGCCGTTGACCCTGCAGGCCATTGACCGAGCAACCCGACGTTCCTACCAGCTCCCTCCGCAGGAATGTGTTAATAAGCAATGTATAGATTTCACGTATTACAAATCTATAGTGACTTGCTTACTACCATTTTCTCTATTTTACACTCATATCGATTTGCTGTAGCAACTCGCTTAACCCGCCCAATACTGAGGGCATCTGTGGCACACACAAAAGAGCTTTACAGCTCATCGGATTTCTCCCTCCAGTCTAAATAAAAGATTCTTCCCCTCAGCATAATCATCAGTAGCGCCGCCACATTAACCGATGATAGGTTTAAAGAAAAAAAAAATAACAAAAATTACGTTGCGATCACAACACAGGTTTACATTGGGTGTAAGCCCAAAGGTAAACCTTTAATAACAGTCTGCTTCAGCAGCTTTCTCCCCCCCTCTTTTATCCTCCTGATGACGATCGATTTGCGTTGTGATCGAAACGTCGTCGTTTTTGTTATTTTCTTTGAATCTATCTTCGTGAATCTCGATTTGAAGTTTTCGTGACTGCAGTGACCCATACTCTTTGTTTCTTTCGGTAAAGCCACGTAGGTATAAAATAAATTTAACTTATACTATCTAAAATATTTATTTTATACTATCTACGTGACTTTACCGAAAGACACAAAGAATATGAATTCGTGCGGTCACGAAAGCTTTAAGATTAAATTATTCATTCGCGGAAGCGAACGCGCGCAAAGTTTTACGACGTCTCAGGAACTCCTTTACGATCATCGCGCTCTCCCGCCGAAGCGCGCGGGGCCTGGATCGATTCTCAATTGTATAAAAGTTGGTTGTGATATTCGTAATCGATTCCCACGCTCGGCTGCAGCGAATACAAATCTCGCACGTAAAATCAGACCCGGTTTCCGATTTACGCGCGGGCTACGTCGTTCGTAGTGGGGAGTGCATTTAAACTCTGCGTTGGGTTTGGAGTCTAACCTGCATTAAAAAAAATCGATTCGGAATCATAAATGGGCGTGCCTGGAATCGCATTCGTTAGGAATCGCCGCTAGCTTCGCGACCCTTCCGTTATTTTTACGACAGTCACGTGTCCCGACACACGCGTCAATCGGCTTTACGGTAAACGATTCATAGCGCAGAGTGGAGTTGCAATCCCGGCGGTTTTTGTCGCGTTTCCGTTTAACTTCGAGTTTTCACGATTATAATACAATTTATATACACACACATATATACATTAACACGTTAGCATAACTTCCCCGTTAAAGATGGGCTTGATGACGATCCTGAAGAAGATGAAACAAAAGGAGAGGGAGGTCCGCCTGCTCATGCTGTATCCTCCTCTGCGTCAGTGAAGATGTGGAATTGATTGATAAGGATGATAAACGATGTTTGTTGATGGTTATTATTGTTATTTTTGCTTATTCTTGCACTTGCTATGACGGCGGCAACGCTCGGTTGCGATGTCGAGGTTTGCTAGCCACGGTGAGGGCTTCGGGAGACGGCGTAGTTTTATATATTCTTGGTTATTTCGGTAAAGTCCACGTAGAATGATAATAAACACGTGTCTTGAATTGCTTTCTTCACGCTACAGTAATTTTACTGGAGCAGTTACACCTGATGACGGAGGCTTGTGTTGCTTCCGAAACGTCGTGATTTAATATAGTTATTTATTTATATTTTATTTTATTATAAAACATTTTTTACCGACGTGACTTTACCGAAAAAAACTAAGAGTATGAATCATTGCAGTCACGAAAGCTTCAAATCTAGAATAGAAGGGAAATAATAAAAGAATAAAAATGAAACATAATAAGATAAAATTCTCACGACGTTTCGGCCACAACGCAAGCAGCCGTCCTCAGGTGAAGAACAGGGCTGTCGGAAAGACAGCGTCCTAATGAAACGTGAGAATTGTATTTTATTATGTTTAATATATATTATTTTATTCTTTCCCTTCTACGTGACTTTACCGAAAGAACCAATAATATGAATCCATGCAGTCACGAAAGCTTTAAATCGTAATTTTTGTTATCCCTCCCCCGTTGCAAGATCGAAAACTGCAGTCGGATTGTCCTAATCATTTAACAGTAACTGTGTGTCGGGTCGTATAAGAATAGGTTTTTACCCTTTCTGTCAATAAAACGGGTGTCAAAACAGAAACATTTTGCAAGGAATTATGTCTGCATTAACCACATATACTTGTGGTGAACGTGCAGATAAAAAGAAACATGCTCTGGTAGTACTGTACGTTCACAGCTTTGTTTAGAGCCTAGTCAATGCAGACATGATCCCTTGCAAAAGGCTTCAATTTGATGTTTAAACACCTGTTTTATTGATAGAAAGGGTTAATTTTTAGATTTAAAGATTTCGTGACTGCAGGGATTCATCTTCTTGGTTCTTTTATTGTATTATTTCCCTTCTACGTGACTTTATCCGAAAGAACCAAGAAGAGAAAGGGTGAAACCTATTATATTTTGATATTGGCAAGGGGTGTTCACGATGTGTCTCGATCAGTCTGTATACGCATCCCGGTGTGTCTGTCTATATTTGTGTCTCTCTGGGTTTCTATGAGTTTACATTTCGATTTAAAGCTTTCGTGACTGCAGGGATTCATATTCTTGGTTCTTTAGGATGCTGTCTTTCCGACAACTCTGTTTCTTCACCTGAGGACGGCTGCTTGCGTTGTAGGCTGAAACGTCGTGAGAATTTTATTTTATTATGTTTTATTTTTATTATTTTATTATTTCTCTTCTACGTGACTTTACCGAAAGAACCAAGAATATGACTTTACATTTCCTCATCAGTTTTTGCCCTGCATGGGCCATAATCGCACTGCGTTGTGGCCGCGTGTAATATCCCCATTCAGGAAGGAGGTCGCGCTCATCGGCCCCTTGATGTTCTCTCATGCGGTTTGATGTCCCACCGGTGTCTTGGAGGGGGGACGACCGTCAAAGCCAGGAGGCGGATGCGATGTTTGGGGTCTCGAATGAGGCGGGGGAGGACGTTGCTTCTTCACTCTGTTCGCCAGCGTTCATCTGGAACGATATTCAGGTGCATGTAACGTGCCGCCCTTTGTCAATCACACCGCAGGACGAAGGCCTCTCACCGACGTGTCGGTCGATTGACCGCATAACTCACGCTGATCGATGGGGGGTGGTAGGTGGTGAAGGAGGGCGTTTACGTGGCCTCTCGGTAGCTCGTTCGCCTCTTATTTTTCTGAGGTTCAACGGTCGCAATCCCGCGGCCGCGCTGATAAATAACACTGCTGCATCTAATGAGCACGATGACATTACTTCATTACCTCATAAGCAAGGAGTAGGCCAGCCGGTGTGTGTGCGTGCCTGCGTCGGAGGAAATTTGCCACGTTCGAAAATCACACGGCAAGTGACTCCCCGGGGCTAGGCGGTGGACGGCAGAGGGCAACGGAGGGGCGGTGTTGCAAAATTCTCGTACGTCGGTGCTCCTCCGACGATTATGCTGCTCTCTCCGTCTTCACCTGCATATATGGAATATTATACATTAATGGGGTTGTATCAAATAATTTAGACACTAATTACTAAAATGCATACATAAATTAAAATAAATGCATAAATAAATTAAAATAAATTGAAATAAAAATAAAATTTTACGTCACTTTACCTTGCTGAGAGGAGTTAAAATGACGAAAAAACACGTGAAAAGTCACAGATAGTTATAGCAAGGGTTGTGCACTGAACGAGATCTACTGTACAGGCAGACTGAGGAGCGGCGCTTTGTTTCAGTCGTGAACGGGGTATACGCGGGTACGCGGTGAATCATCCCGACCCATACAAGTTCTAGCAAGCGCGTCGTATCCCAAGCAAGATGTCGTATCCCAAGACATTTTTTTCTCGTAAAAACACGACATCTACCAAATTCGACGTATTCCAAAGCGGTCGTATACCGAGGTATGACTATTTATAATCTGACCCGATTCAAGGGTAAACATCGATTTTGATGGCTGACTTGATTTGCAACTTTGAGAGTTTTCACTGTCACAGACAATCCTTGACATCAGTGCAGGGGTCTGGACAATGCGGGTAAGACCACAATTCTGAAAAAGTTCAACGGCGAGGACATTGACACCATCTCCCCGACTCTGGGCTTCAACATCAAAACACTGGAGCACCGAGGGTACGACCTACTCGTCTGCAAAGCGATCACCCATCATCAATACAGCTCACCACCTACATAATTAATTAACCCAGCATTGTAATGGAATCTTCATTAGCATCGTTCAGGATATTAATAGCAATATAGATAAGCAGACGATTCGTCTCATTATCTATAACAACTGAGTCGTTGTCTATAACATCTGGCAGTTCACCAGCATTGTTTCAAGCAACCCTAACTGCTGATCAGACAATGTCAAAGCAGTTTGTACTGAATCAATGCTGTTGAAATGATATACTTTCCAGAAGAATGCTGGGCCAAGGGGTTGTGTAAACATTAACTTTACTGTATATGTGTAGAGACAGGTATATGAAGCAGATAGTCTGCTCATAATTTGTTTTATAAATGTAGCCCATCGCCGAATTGACCATATCATGGAAACTAAGCAGATTTGAGCTTGGATGGTGCATGGCTATGTGCCCACCATGCATTAAACAGGTGTTTGAGCATCAGCGGGGATACCTTGTCAGAAGGGGGGCAATGCAAAACAATCTATTGCTGTATTGCACCACGTCTATGCTTCTGGTCTTCACCAATACGCAAGTGACCAGCATGGTAAAGCATGGTCATATGTAACTCATCCTCACAACCATGGGGAAGGTCCGTCATCCAGCAATGGACTGACATATTTGTGTAAGTTGTGATACCTGCCAAAAACCATAATTAGCGATGCATTCACTCAAACCCACATCTCGGGTTCGCAGGTTCAAGTTGAACATCTGGGATGTGGGCGGGCAGAAGTCGCTGCGCTCCTACTGGAGGAACTACTTTGAGAGCACGGACGGCCTCGTGTGGGTGGTGGACAGCGCTGACCGTCGCCGCCTCGAGGACTGTGGGAAGGAGCTCGCCTCGCTGCTGCAGGAGGAGGTGGTCGATCTGCACGCTCACTCACACGCTCGTCCACACACTCACCCACACGCTCATCCACACACTTACCCACGCACTCGTCCATTGGCCACACACTCACCCACACACTGGACCCCACGCTCACACACAAGCTCACCCACAAGCTCACCCACAAGCTCATCCAAACACTCACCCACACACTCAACCACACGCTCATCCACATACCCTCACACTCGTCAGCACGCTTGTCCACACAATCACCCACACGCTCATTCCACTCACCCACATGCTCGTCCACACACCCACACGCTCGTCCACACATTGGACCCCACGCTCGTCCACACACTGGACCCCACGCTCACCCACAAGCTCACCCACAAGCTCATCCACAAGCTCACCCACAAGCTCACCCACACACTAGTGTCCACACACTCGTGTCCACACACTCGTGTCCACACACTCGTGTCCACACACTAGTGTCCACACACTCGTGTCCACACACTCGTGTCCACACACTCGTGAACATACTTCCACACACTTGCCCACATGCTCGCTCGACACCTAATTATTTCCATCTCACTTACCGCCCTCTTGATTACACTCGTGTGCAGGGGAGGCATCTAACAGTTATGTGGTTTTGACTTTTGTTGGCAGCGACTGACGGGGGCGACGCTGCTCGTGTTTGCCAACAAGCAAGACCTTGCTGGTGCCCTTTCGGCGGACAATATCAAAGAGGTGAAATAAAGTTCCAAGGCCAAATCTAAGTCTCTTGATAATTAATCTTGACTTTGGTTTGGACTCTGCAAAATTGCTGTGTATTATTCCAAGGTGTCTAAAGCACGTTCAGTTATCTTAACGTGCTTAACGTTAAGTTATCTTTCGATTTAAAGCTTTCGTGACTGCAAGGATTAATATTCTTGGTTCTTTCGGTAAAGTCATGTAAAAGGAAAATTATTAAATAAAAAACATTAAATTATTTAATTCTCACGTTTCAGCCACAACGCAAGCAGGCATCCTCAGGTGAAGTAACAGCTGTCAGGACGCTGTCTTTCCGACAGCTCTGTTTCTTCACCCGAGGACGGACGGCTGCTTGCGTTGTGGCCGAAACGTTGTGAGAAGTTTATTTTATTATGTTTTATTTTTATTATTTTATTATTTCCCTTCTACGTGACTTGACCAAAAGAACCAAGAATTAAGTTATCTTAACATATGTATTTTATGACTATACTGTTAATTTATTTCTACAAAAAATCTTCTCGGGTTTAAGGCTTTTTTGGTCATTTTCTCATCTTTATACCAGTTGTGCTATCATGGTTTTCTTGTGAAAAATTAATTGTTGACGGGGATAAGCACACCAACTCAGAACACGTGCAAATCCAGTTGAACCACAGGTGATAAACCAAATTCTTACAGAGGAGCTCAGGAGTGGTGGCTCAATGCTCCGATCGCCTGAACCACCCACCTACTTCTACTGCCTCTGCAAATGTGTTTTTCTCATACGCAGCGGTTTACAAATTTAACGCGTCCCAACGATTATCTGTCTGCTAGGCGCTGGATTTGGAGGCCATAAAAACCCACCACTGGTGCATCCTGGGCTGCAGTGCGGTAACGGGAGAGAACCTCCTCATGGGGATTGACTGGATTCTCGATGACATCTCAAGCCGCATCTTCACCAAGGAGTAGCCGCACGGCGGCGCTCGCAGAGAGATCGGCATCGACGCTGGCATGGTGGGCGTGTGGTATGGTGGTGGGGCCAAGTGCGAGTCGAGTGAACCGAGCTCCCCGGGAAAGGCTTCACCTGGAGGCGAGGTCACAAGTAGTCGCTTTGCGCTGTGGTCATGGATGCGGTGTCGAATCGGGACGCTGAACACGAACTGAAAAGTGCACTTTTTTGCCCGATTTTGTATGTGTATACGTACATCCCTTTTTGTTTTCAATCGCACTACTGGATGAGATCCTGCGCACTCCGTGGAGGCTATTTGACTAAAATTTCACCGCGTTGGTCGGTGCGGGTCGGAGAAGACGGGCAGCGTGGGTGTGGGAGAATACAAATACAAAACCGCAATTAATTCTACTGCACTCCACTCTGTATTATCCAGGATCAACCCTGCTTAGTTTGAGATCTGACGAGTTTGGTTGGAGTCCTGGTGATTTGGTCATAGGCTTTTTGTTTGTTACGGTAAATATGTGTTAATTGCACAAACCACCAAACCCTAGTAAATTAATTTAGGATTTTCAGTGTTTGTAAGCTGGATTACCGAATAGTGAAATTACTGAAAATGTTTTGCTTTACCTACATTTTTTGAAATAACTAATTTTGTTTTGCGCTGCTTAAATAAAAGACGTAATAAGGTTTGCTTATGTATGGCTCTTTTTTTCACGGCAAAATCACAAAATACAATTAAACAGTTTTGTAACGTGTTGATCCATGCATTAAGGCTATACTGTTGATTTTATATATTGTACGCAATTGGTTCACGTAAAACCAGCACCCAATAATTTTACACTCACTGTAACGGAGGAAAACGAGAGTTCTTGAACGTCATGACCCCAACTTGGCGAATTTCATCCAATCACAAGTGAGGCGAATGGTTTACTTGCCTGGTGCCTCGCTGAGACTCAATAATTTTTCATGAGGATCTTGCATTGGCAACTTTGTCCAATGCAATCAATGATAGTTTGCTATCACGTGGGAAAACACGCACATGATGGTTAACACGCTCCAATCTTCAAATAGTAAAAATTTCATTGTAAGCCCATTTACTGGTCACTACAACGGGCTCATAACTTATAAATAAACGTCAAGTAAGGTGGTTTCACAAACTGCATTTCATTCCCGCACCTCTGATTAGCACGCTTGTCTACGTGCAGCGCGAAAGAAGTGTAACATACATACACGTACATTTGAGCTTTTGTCAATGCACGCCGTACACCCATTTTCAACACGGCAGTTTTCAAAGAAAAGCAACGCACGAGGGACGAGAATGATTAATGCGCCTACGCCGTAATGACGCGCAGTTTTCTGCTCAAGCGTCGGCCACGACCGTAGGCATCACGGTGGGTTCCGCCCTGGTGTCTGGGACCGCGTGGGGGCCCTTGGCAGCTGAGAAGCTGCCGCTTTGGCGGAGGCCGGCGGTGTGGGCCCGAGCAGCGGCCAGGAGGGAGAGCAGCGCGACCCGGGCTGCTCGCTCACGGCCGTCGCGTCGCTGAACGTGACCGAGCGCGCCGACGTCGAGCCGCTCTTCCTCGACGACCGCGGCGTCGCCGTTCCGGCTGTGCCCGTGTCGGTCCCAGCCGAGGTTTTCTGGCTGCCGACCGTCAAGTGGGCCGAGCGCGGGATTGAACAGTCTCCGTCTTCGGTGGTTTTAAGCGCCGCTGCAGCCGGCTGTGCCGGTAGCATCGCGCGGTGGCTTGGCTTCTCGGTAGAGGGCACCTTTTCTTTGACAGTCACCGCTACTGGACCTCCCTTGCGGTTGACGATGGCACTGCTCGTCGCCCCGGCCGACCGCCCGGCGGAGACCGATTTTGCAGAAACGCCGGACGTGGCTCGGGAGAATTTTCCATCTGGCGTTGAGCGGCGGGAGACTGTGTCAGCGTGGCCGTGCTGCGACTGGGACGAGTCGGAGCCCATGAAGGCCGAGCCGACGGGAGTAAGGACGCCCACGGTGGTGCGGAACGTGTGCAGCACGCGGTCGGTGCGTTGGCGCTCGCTGCGTTGCTGCCGCTCCTCCTTCCGGATGAGTGTGCGCGTGTCGTGCACCAGCTTCTTACGAGTGTCCACGAGGCTTCTGAAGGGACCGGTGGTGGAGGGGGGGGCATGGGTGTCACAACAGTGGATGAACGTGTATAAAGATTGCACTAAAAAGTAGATTTTTCAAATTGTTAAAGTTAACGGGCAAATGTGCGGCTCCTGCAAGTGTTTGCTCATGCCATTGTTGGCGGAAGGGCATCTACTCATAGGATCTCTAGAGAATCCCGTTATTATAAATGTATGCCTACTCTTCCTCACTGTACCGACGTCATGGAAGAGGTGGGAGCCCCCCACACTTTACCCCACCACATGTAACCTGCCAGTTGACTTAAGCTTAAACTGCCGGATGCAATAGAACATTTATTTTTACACCATAAATGCTGAAATTTTTTTGGCCTTTTCTTAACAGCTATATATGGGGTGGCACAAAAGTCAGGACAGGGTTATTATGTTCATTGTATATCAACTGCCCTTGATGGAGTCTTGCCATGAGATTGAGAAATCTTTGCTTGGAACTCGCCCGGGAAACAGTGGAACCATGGAAATCAAATAGCCGTTGGAGAAGATGCCAATTTTTGAGGTCGTAAAGTGGGAGGGGAGGTGGTGCAGGTGGGGCATGTCTGCGCCGGGCCTCTGAAAGGACAAAGGTGGGGGGGAAGGGGGAGACTTAATCTGGCATTTCACATTCGGCCTCCAAAAAACATTGGTGGTTAATTCTTCGTCGGGGCATTTGCAGCGGCACGCGTGCGTCTCTCCGCGCGTTTGGCGGAACCCGCAGGTCTCGCCTGTAGTCGATGCGGCCATCCTTGTCCCTCTCCAGCTTCAGCATGAGCTCGTCCAGATGGTGTTTGTCCAGGGGGATGCTCAGGTGCTGCAAGGTCAGAGGTCAACCCCGTGGTCACCTTTTTTTTTAACAATAGATGTTTATGGTTGTTTCATCTAAGTATTTTGTTATGAAAACTATAACACCTGTTTTATGCACGGTGGAATACCTGTACATTGCTGCACACAAAACAGACAGCTTTGTGAACATTTATAATATATACCTATATATAATAGACCACGCACAAACACTGATGTGGGTGTGGGCGGTGACATGGCCAGAATAGGGTTAGGGTGTGCACTGTGTGGCAGGAGCTGCCAAAGTATGGCCACAAAGGCAAATCGTTTTAACGAATGTACTATACACTATAAATATATGTTCCAGTATATATATTATATCGCTGAATATATTATATGTGACAGATATGCGACTTTGTATTGTATATACTGTACTTAAATTCTGGTATTCGGCATCGTCTCTCCAAGGTGGTGGCAGGGCACGCTCACGCACGCTTACGCACGCTTACGCACGCTCACGCACGCACACACACACCTGCACGGCTCTGCGGAAGTCGTCGCTGGAAATCTTCATGGTGCCCTCCTTGTCGGCAGAGCGAAAGAAATCCCAGAGCCGCAGTTTGTGCTCCACCAGGTAATCCTGCAAGTCATCGCGGCAAGGGGACGGACTTCACTCTGCGAGTTGGTGATAAACCTGGGGGGCGTGGGGTCTGTTACAGCAGTAATCGTCCCAATTTGTAATTACGGAACAGGATTTAGATGGCGTGCCTAAAGCGCCTTAACGTCGCATCTCATCTCAACCATTCCTATGCCCTGCTGCTGTCAAGCCAAGGGGGACCCCCAGTGGCAGCTGTCTCTGTGTGGCAAAAGGTGTATGCAGTACCAGGCTGCACGTGGGTACTAGTCTGCTGGTAGGCGGCGATATTACGTTGTGGTCTTTCCCAATTAAGTAACGAATCGCAACCACACTGTAACTGTCATTGCAGCCTGCAATGCTGCTGTAAATCTAATGGAACAGAAGATGAAAAGTGCGCAACAAAGCAAGGAGAGGTGCGTGCTTGAATTTACAATGAGAGAAAGGAATAGGAGCACATGGATCAGAGACATCGTATTCATTTAAGTGGAGCTTGGGAAAGACATGCAAATCGAAGGAATGATGATCGGTGGTAAAGACGAAGAGCAGAGCAGCAGCCAAGGCAGGAAAAGCACTTGGGAGGAGATACAGCGATGAAATCAGTTCGTACGCAGAAGCCAAATGGGCCGTTGAATCACAATACCGCATGAGACGGTAACAGCTGAAGGGAGGACTTCATCCAGCAATGGATGAAGGGTTGCGATATTTTAACACTTAGAGAATAAGCATCAGCAGGTGAACTTCCATCTCCTTTTGCTTCATCTCTCAAATTGATGAGCCCTTGATCAATGGATTATATTATAGTAATAATATCTATAGCTGGGATTATCCGTTGTTCGATCACGGCTGCTGACGATGACGGTGACCACGATGTAAAGCTGGTGTCGTGAGGGGACCCGTGCGTGTGCGCCCCGTCGTGCCTGAATGAGTTTCATGGGGTCCGTCCGGGGTTTGGGTTTTCTCGCCAGGGGCCCCCCGACCCCCGAATGCAGAACCGTGAGGCCCTGCGTCCGCCGGATTGCCGACACGGTATGCAGGAACGCCTGGTTCACACGCACCGTCTGCACAAAATCCAGGTTCGATTTAACACAGTACATAAAATTCGTGATCTGATCCCATCTGTGAAGGATGTGATCCCTGACATGCAATACCCCGGCGTCTACAAACTAAGCTGTGTCTGCGGCAGTAGTTACATTGGGTAACTAAGCGACATGTCTTCGGACCGTGTTCGTGAACATAAGGCAGATCTGAAACATGGTAGGATCAATACCTTGGCCGTGGCTGATGATTGTTTTAATGCGGTGGGCTCACACGAAATTGATTTCTCTAAGACAAAGGTACTTTGCAAGCCCACTGACTATCAACAAAGATTCGTTCATGAAGCCATCCATATATATAGACACAGACACAATTTCAACCGAGAAAATGGGTACAAACTGAGCAATCATTGGAAGGACGTTATCAACCAGTTTAAGTCATAATTGCCTATGATGTTACCATCCTACCACCCTCCGATGTTAGTTGTGCTTTACGCCCATTTCAAACTTGCGCTTTCACAGTCACTTCGCGCTGACCCCTTGGGGCTCTGCGATCTCCCATTAACATGCTAATCTCTCTTTAACGTGCTAATTTTCACCTGGCAGCCCTTTGGTGGAAAACCAACCACTGTCGGGTTGGCTACCCACCACTTACATTATCATTGGCTGCTGACATTTGGGCTACGCCCATTTCAAACCCTGATAAACAGTTTGCCTTAGAAGCTAACCCCCCTTTTCCTGAAGACAACCGCTTGTGTTGCGATCGAAACGTCGTAGTTTTTTGTTATTTTTTTTGTTATTTTCTTTGAACCTATCTTCGTGACTTTACCGAAAGACCCAAGAATATGGCGACCCTGACCTCGTGCGGAAAATCCACAAGATTAGCTCACTCTCCTCTGCTTGCTACCGTCGTCTGGAATTCCCGTCACCCAGCCGTCCGTGCTGTCGTATCCCTGCCACCGTTCAAGTCCAACCTCGAGACCTTCCACATATTCTTTGCGCATTCAACCGACGCTGCCTCTCCATAAAATATAAACGGTCCCACTGATTCTGTGATGGCATCTTGAGACGCGATCGCATTCAGAGGGGCGGAGGCATGGAAGGGTGGAGGGGTGGTGGTGTAGCGACGATATTATTATTAATAATAAGTGATGGTACTCACAGACATGTCAAACCTCTCCAGCGCAGAGTGCTCGTTGACCTTGACTGCTTTGATCAGGACGAGGGCTCCCTCCACAGTGAAGATGTTGAAGCAGAGCTGAGAGACACACGTGCAAAAACACGCTCAAGCTGAACCCAGCCAAAACTTGATCAATTTTTGGAATCTTCTGAGCTATCTTAGGTTGCATCATCATCATCGCCGTCGTTCTTGACAGCTCTTCGTTGTGTTTTTGGGTTGTGCTGCGCGTTGTTCGGCACAATGTCCGGCGTTTCGCTACGTGCTAGGAAGCTCTTTCACGAACTGAACAGAACTGAGAGCAAACCTCCCCCTTCACCAGCCCACCATGACCGGTGTGATGAGGTTCGGTCCAAGGAAACTTCATCTTGCAGTGAACTGACAAAGGGCTGCAAATTGTTATTTACAAATTACTCAATTGCTAAATTCGGAGTAACAGACGAACCGTGATGGCCGGACCACACAAAACAAAATATATTTTTTACGATAACCCACCACCCCCTTGTTGGGAAACCTCCTCCTCCCCTTCGAAGGATTCTCCACTGCTGGCCTACTACCTGCAGCACCCGGAGGCTGTCGTTGGCGAGCAGGCCACGTGCCAGGGCCTCCATGCCGGTGTTGCCGATGCGGTTGTTGCGCAGGTCGAGGTGGAGCAGGGCCCCGTTGAACTTGAGAGCCTCGGCCATGGCGAGGGCGCCCTCGTTCCCGAGACCGTTCACGGATAGGTGGAGGTGGGTGAGCGCGTAGTTCACCTGGGCGGGCACCGAGCGCAAGGGGGAGGAGGGGGGTAGAGGGAGCCGCGTCGAGACAATTGAGGCGCATGGCCCCCTGCAAAGGCCACGGGGAGGGCCGCCCTCATTCCCGAGGTCGTTCACAAACGTTGCGGCGCAATGTACGACTCCGAGGCAGGTTCCGTTAGGGGCTCACCCCGAGTTTATTGAGGGCTTGCGCCGAAACAAAACCACCCCCTAGCCTATAACTCCCCAGGGGACAGGGGGCTGGGATCCCTACAACTCCGGCTAACTCGGCTCTCCTCCCTGCCCCGGGCCGGGACTACCCCAACCTCGGCCGGTCGGGCGGAGTAGCCTCCCCTAGCCTTGTGTGAGGATCACCTACCCCGAGTCCCCACTCCTACCCCCCTACGAACCCCGGTTACATCCCGGGTCCCCCTTTAAATACGTCACCGTCCCCCAAGGTCCGCCTGACGGCAGGTTCTACGACGCCACTCTCTCCGAGGCGAGCGTGACGTGACGTCACCCACTACTCCCCTACACAAAGACACATGGAGGCGCATGAGCACGCAGGTCACCTGGGCAGGCGCCGAGCAGAGGCGAGGGGTAGAGGGGGCTGCGTTGAACCAATCGAGGAGGCGCGTGGCCCCTGCAAGAGGACTTGATGGAGCCACGTTTTTTTAAAAACACTTTTTCAACTAAAGTTTTTTTAAAAAATTACGCGTAGGCTTTTCACAGACCAAAATTGTCACGATTCATAATTGATTTATTTTGGGTTAGATCGTCGTGTGAATAAAATGTGTGTCGGCAACCCCTCCTCCACCCGACACAGCAAACTAATTAAAGTGTCCCTTGAATTAAACGTGGCCAAATGTATCACTGCCTCAGCAGCAACGCCAGTGTTGTTATTGCTGTTGAAGAGCAATCCCATAACATGCCTCGAAATCAGAATCTTTATTTATCCTGGAGAAATCCGATGATCTGTGAAGCTCTTTTCACAGATGTCCAATGGATCGAGAACTGCGATCCTCACACCCGTGAAACACGCGACGATCTGTGGTCAGATTTGGTCGGAAAAGGAACGGAAATTTTGGCGGTCAGATATGGTCGGAAGGACTGGTCGTGCCCCATCATTGGCAGCACGCCGATGCAGCTCAGCGCACCGAGGATCAGTAGCGAAACGGAGGTGGGGGCAGGCGCCCCATTGTTGAGGCTCACCACTTTGGCACTCGCTCAGCAGACGCATCCCATTAGCGAGGGGTGGTGGGTGGCACGGGGCCAGCCTCAGATTGTTATGGAATGTGGCACCGAGTCATCGCGCAGTGCTGCGGTAGCTTCCAGGCGCAGGTTCTCGATCGGCCCGTGAGATAAACACGACACGTGGTAGCGTGACCAGCGTGAGGGCAGGGGGGGTACCTCGCCCCCCCCCCCTCCCTGGTGGGCAAAGCTACGAGTTGGGGCCCCCTTGACAACCACCATGAGACAAAATTATTATTTTTAAACGCGATTTAAATAAAAAAATTTAAACGCGATTTAAATAAAAAAATGTAAACGCGATTTAAATATAAAAACTTTTTAACGCGATTTCAATAATTTTTTGAGGAAAGTGCTTTCATTTAGGTACCACGTATTATTTTAATTTAATTAGAGCGGTAACGTAATATTGCAAAGGGGTACTACGGAGCCGTAGCGGCTGCATCTTGCGAAGACGGAGTGCCCCAACAGCATTAAATGTTCGAGACCGTGAGCGTAACGATGCGATTCGGCGAGAGCCGTCCACGGTACATAATTGCCTGGGTACGACCGTGCGAGACCAACGAAACATTTAATTATTGTGACCGACTTGACCGATTGCCGCACCAACCCCCTGAGCTGCTAATGCAGTTACTACGTCGCTGCCAAGAACGCGTGCAGTTGTCTAACTCAACACTCCGGTCGTCGGCGCAGAGCACGTTTAAAAAGTGTGTCGGGGGGGGGGGGGGCGTGGGGCGTTGCACGGGGGTCAGCGGTGCTGGAGGGCCTCACGCGCAGGCCGGCACACAGAGCCACCGCGCCCTTGAGCCTCAGGTGATTCCAGCTGAGCTCCAACTCCTCCAGCGTCTCGTTGTGCGCTGCACGAAAAAATTGCAACAAGTGAAGGCAAACGCTGAGGAGCATGCGTAGAGTACATACGGTGGGGGGGGGGGGGGGGGCGTATGCTGGTCTCCTTTGATTTCTATTTGCTTCATTGCTCTACTTTATTCAATGTGTTTTTGTCAGTGATGTTAATCCGGAGACCATCCTGGTCCCATCGACTCACATCGCGATCTATAGACTCACAAATAGACTTACACAGAGACCCATAGAGTGGCATAGACGCCCATAGTCGCATAGAAATGCACAGATTCACATAGAGGCCCATAGAGCCAAACGGGACCTCATTGTCTAGGATGCGCCGGCAGTGGATTCATCATCTGCACTTTCTCTAACAGATGGGCACGTGAAGCCCTCGTGGCTTCCCAGGGGAAATGGTGCATCATCATCATCAGCACCTCCGATGAGCACTGTTGGCTACTTATGATGCGAAGGAAGTTAAAAATACGTACACAATAAATCTGCAATTCAATCATCATCATCATCATCTTTTCAAAGGCCCTTTGCCAGCTAACCTGGCTGTAAGAGACACTTACCTAACAACTGGCCCAGGTGTTCTCCTCCCATCTCACTGAACTCGTTGTGGCTTAGGTCCAGCTCCTTGACGCTGTAATTGGACTGAAGGAGAAGGAATGTGAGGAGCAGGGCGTCAGTCAGCACCACGTGCAGATCCAGTGTCACCGGACTTGGAACACGGCCAGTTACAAGTGTTTGAAGTGGACCGCGTTAGACAAAAGCCAACGGCACGTCACACTCAAAACCTCCCGACACAGGAAACAATGGTCAGCCGTAAAACTGCTGCAGAAGAATCAGCCATGGCAACCGTGCATCACCTCCTGCATCAAATGAAGGACGGTCCGCAATGTGGCTGCTGCGGTCACCAGATCCAGACCGTGGATCACATGATCAGAATCGATCATTTTTATTTATGCTGGAGGAATCAGCTGTTTTTCTCAGATGTCCAGCACGTAATGCCACACTGTCCCCCTGCACCGCCGATTCACGAGCAGTATCACCGCGACATCCACCAAGCCTCCACATAGGGTGCCGAGTGGCTTAATAACCTCAACATACAGAGACAAAGAGCCCCTGTATAGCCTTAACAGAGTGTAGGAGCAAGTGCTGTTAAGCGACTAGCACCTATGAAGGCCGGCACGGCACACGAGGCAGTGGGTGGCCAGCACCACGCTTGGTCGCCTTTGTCTCCCTAGTAGCGATGTTTACACACTGCACCAGGTACTCATTTGAGGCTGAGCCGACCTAGGGGAAGCCCAAGACCGGTTCAGATAATCGTCACTGGTGTCGATATACAAGCACACTCACACGCACAACATTGCAAATTCAAATTGACATCAAAAAGAAGAAGACTGAAAAGATAAAATGGTCCAAAATAAATTGTGATAATCAGGGATACGGCCTTATCTGGGATTGTGAGAATAACTATCTTTTCGCAGTCACCCCTTTTTAACAGAAGTATGGTGTAGATTTGAGTATGGAACAATGTCCGTGTTGTAGAGGATAGGTGAGAAGTACCTATACCCACTAACGGAGCCAATGATCCGATCGAAATCCCTAATTTCGATCGGATCATTGGGGTTTATTAGTAATAAATCGGCACTTTGCGACCCCCACTGCCATTGTGTAGCATATTATTACGTGCCAGGAACTCTATGAGATGACAAGACAATAATCTTGAGTCCATAATTGCCAATAAGTAACGTCAAAGCAGTTATAAGTGACTCACAGAATTGTGTGCAGTTGCGTATACAGTACACGACTTTCCTGAAGGCAAACACCTTCAGCGAGCGCGATGCTGATCACACACGGTTCGAATTTGACCCTCGATCGATGGCTGCGCCATTGCCGCACATGCGTCGATTGAAAGGCAAGGGACAAGTCCTTACTTACTAACAACTCCTTACTCACTAACAACTCCTTACTTACTAACAACTCCTAGCATTTTTCATTGCTGGAGGGTTGCCCCCCCTACCTGAAAATCCTGGCTCCGCCATTGCCTATATCCCTTACCACTATAAGCGATGATATATAAAACACAAGGATATGTAGATGTTTCTGTCCACCCGATGTAACACTGCATAGAAGACCATGACCGCGGGACTGATGAAAATTCTCACGATGTTCTAGAACGGCTGACATTTGGTGCAAATGTAGCGAAGTCTATGGTTACGGCGCAAACAATCTCTAACTGTCGTTTTAGGTCGATTGGATTAACTCACAGGGAGGGCTCAGCCTCAAGCTCTACGTGGCTCTACATCTCACGCTAAACACTTACACACGCACGTTCAACTGCCGTCGGCGAAACCAAGTGATTCTCCTCCCGTGGAGCGCGATGCTAGAGGCGCGTTAGAAAACGCGGCTCGCATGCCCTGGGTGTACTTGGCATACTCACGGCCATCGCGTCGGCAAGACACTTCGCGTCGTTGTCCTTAAAGTGGTTTCCTGAAGGAGAAAAAGAGCACAAATATTGATGGTAATAATCTGATCCCGTGATCGACTCATCTCGTCTCCATTCCCCTCCACGCACTCCCCTACCTCTGCCCTCTCATCTCACTCTACTCCCCTCCCCTCCACACACTCTCCTACCTCTCCCCTCTCATCTCACTCTACTCCCCTCCCCTCCACACACTCTCCTACCTCTCCCCTCTCATCTCACTCTACTCCCCTCCACACACTCTCCTACCTCTGCCCTCTCATCTCACTCTACTCCCCTCCACACACTCTCCTACCTCTGCCCTCTCATCTCACTCTACTCCCCTCCCCTCCACACACTCTCCTACCTCTCACCTCTCATCTCACTCTACTCCCCTCCCCTCCACACACTCTCCTACCTCTCCCCTCTCATCTCACTCTACTCCCCTCCACACACTCTCCTACCTCTGCCCTCTCATCTCACTCTACTCCCCTCCACACACTCTCCTACCTCTGCCCTCTCATCTCACTCTACTCCCCTCCACACACTCTCCTACCTCTGCCCTCTCATCTCACTCTACTCCCCTCCACACACTCTCCTACCTCTCCCCTCTCATCTCACTCTACTCCCCTCCACACACTCTCCTACCTCTGCCCTCTCATCTCACTCTACTCCCTCCACACACTCTCCTACCTCTCCCCTCTCATCTCACTCTACTCTCCTCCACACACTCTCCTACCTCTCCCCTCTCATCTCACTATACTCTCCTCCACACACTCTCCTACCTCTGCCCTCTCATCTCACTCTACTCCCCTCCACGCACTCTCCTACCTCTCATCTCACTCTACTCCCCTCCACACACTCCCCTACCTCTGCCCTCTCATCTCACTCTACTCCCCTCCACACACTCTCTGCTCCAGACACCAGCCAACCTTTTTTTCAGTGAAAGGTGGGTGGAGGAGGGGGGGAGGAGCGGAGTGGAGGGGGGAGGTGTACGGGTGGAACATGGAGAGGTGGAGGTCCAGGAATGTGGAGAGGTGGATCAGTGGAGGGGTGGAGGGGTGGAGGTTTGGGGGTATGGAGGTGTAGAGGGATTGAGGGGTGTATGGGTGGATGGGTGGAGGGGTGGAGGGATGGAAGAGTGGATGGGTGGAGGGGTGTATGGGTGAAAGGGTGGATGGGTGGAGGGGTGGAGGTGAGTTTGTGTTTCGGACCGGACAGGTTGATGACCCGCAGGCTGGTGGTGTCTCCCAGCATCTGAGCCATGGCTTCTGCACCCGCAGCCTCCAGACGATTGTCTGCCAGGTCCTGCAGGAGACACAGACACACAGATTCATAGCCGTGGGGAGGCCCTCATTCAGCAGTAGATCGACGAAGGGGCTGTACGCTCCTCACCAATACTTCGATGCAGCAGTTCTTGGTGAGCATGTCGGCCAGGTGTCGCGCAGCCTCCCCCGTCAGGAAGTTGTCTCTGAGCTGCAGGTGACGCACCTGTTGGTCTGCCTGCCACACACGCGCACAGGTGGAGCTGAATATCAGTATCTCCAAGATCAAAAAGTCATCATGGCCAGAGCCATTTGGATGCCACCATCGCCACAACTCACTTCCTATGCTTTCCACCATCCACCAGATCCCGTGGATGCTGTATGGTAGACTCAAAACCTGCCATCACAGTGTCTCATCATTAGCACGGTTGGCTACGTACGGTGCGAAAGAAGTTCAACATGCATACATACATCATCTGGACCCATAGATTCGCAGAGACCCACAGACTCACACAGCAACTTACAGACTCACACAGACACCAATAGACTCACATAAATTTAAAATGATAGCTGCCTGTATTTTTCCGTTGCAGAGCAATGGGTTGTCTACCAGTGTTAATACAATTACGTTTTAGTCCACCTGCCTATTCGCCTTCACATTCTCCAGACCAGTGTTCTTCACTGATTTTCAGAGGGTGGGCCACTTTCGCCAATAAGATATCATCAGCGTGAGGGCCGCCACACATTTGAAACAATTGAGGGGTTGACAGCACGATGATGGGAGGGTGTTTTCACAATTGTGTATTGTCAGGAGCCGCACTAAAGGCCACCAGGGGCAGCCAGTGGGCCTGAGGCCTTGCGATGAAGAACACTGCTCCACACCAATATTATCCAGCAGCATCGGCGTCGGCCACACTTGTGGGGATTGCGTGGCCAGGAGAACTCTCACCACCAGCGCGCAGGAGAGGGCCCTGGCCTCCTGGGGCCCGAGGCCACGGTGGTTCATGGACACGGTGGAGGAGGTGAGGGCCCGGAGCAGGGGCGAGCAGGGCACGACCCCGAGGCGGCCGCACGCCCGCCGGTACTCGTGCACCGCCGCCGGCCCGGCCTCTGCACCAGCGCACGCAGGCACCGCCTTTCATGGCAAACTCAACATCGTTGTCATCGATAATTGTTTTTTTACCCTTCTATCTGGCAACAAAACTGACACCTTTTTTACAAGGAGTCATGTTTACATAGACCATAATACCTGCAGTCATAATGCAAACAAAAAACATAACTCTGATAATGTATGCACTGTCCTTGAAGTTGATTGGTCCACACCCGAGACAGCTTTCCTTAGAGCCTAGTCTCACATGGTGTTGGACCAGATGACGCCATTATGACTGCAGGTATTGTGGTCTATGTAAACATGACAAGGTGTCAGTTTTGTTGCCAGATAGAAGGGTAAAAAAAAATTATCATATTTTTTACTGGCAAATGAGGTTCCAATGGTGTAAATCGTTGTCATCGTTCGCGTTTTTGTGGTAAATATTAAGAACAAAATCATCATCATTCGCGTTGTTCTGGTGAGTGTTAAGAACAACATCGTCGTCGTCATCATCATCATTCGCGTTGTTCTGGTGAGTGTTAAGAACGACATCGTCGTCGTCATCATCATCATTCGCGTTGTTCTGGTGAGTGTTAAGAACAACATCGTCGTCGTCATCATCATCATTCGCGTTGTTCTGGTGAGTGTTAAGAACGACATCGTCGTCGTCATCATCATCATTCGCGTTGTTCTGGTGAGTATTAAGAACAACATCGTCGTCGTCATCATCATCATCATTCGCGTTCTGGAGAGTATTAAGAACGACATCGTCGTCGTCATCATCATCATTCGCGTTGTTCTGGTGAGTGTTAAGAACGACATCGTCGTCGTCATCATCATCATCATTCGCGTTGTTCTGGTGAGTGTTAAGAACAACATCGTCGTCGTCATCATCATCATCATTCGCGTTGTTCTGGTGAGTATTAAGAACAACATCGTCGTCGTCATCATCATCATCATCATCATTCGCGTTCTGGAGAGTATTAAGAACAACATCGTCGTCGTCATCATCATTCGCGTTGTTCTGGTGAGTGTTAAGAACAACATCGTCGTCGTCGTCATCATCATCATTCGCGTTGTTCTGGTGAGTGTTAAGAACAACATCGTCGTCGTCGTCATCATCATCATTCGCGTTGTTCTGGTGAGTGTTAAGAACGACATCGTCGTCGTCATCATCATCATTCGCGTTGTTCTGGTGAGTGTTAAGAACGACATCGTCGTCGTCATCATCATCATTCGCGTTGTTCTGGTGAGTGTTAAGAACAACATCGTCGTCGTCGTCATCATCATTCGCGTTGTTCTGGTGAGTATTAAGAACAACATCGTCGTCGTCATCATCATCATTCGCGTTGTTCTGGTGAGTGTTAAGAACAACATCGTCGTCGTCATCATCATCATCATCATTCGCGTTGTTCTGGTGAGTGTTAAGAACAACATCGTCGTCGTCATCATCATCATTCGCGTTGTTCTGGTGAGTGTTAAGAACAACATCGTCGTCGTCGTCATCATCATTCGCGTTGTTCTGGTGAGTGTTAAGAACAACATCGTCGTCGTCAGCATCATCATTCGCGTTGTTCTGGTGAGTGTTAAGAACAACATCGTCGTCGTCAGCATCATCATTCGCGTTGTTCTGGTGAGTGTTAAGAACAACATCGTCGTCGTCAGCATCATCATTCGCGTTGTTCTGGAGAGTATTAAGAACAACATCGTCGTCGTCAGCATCATCATTCGCGTTGTTCTGGTGAGTGTTAAGAACAACATCGTCGTCGTCAGCATCATCATTCGCGTTGTTCTGGTGAGTGTTAAGAACGACATCGTCGTCGTCATCATCATCATTCGCGTTGTTCTGGTGAGTGTTAAGAACAACGTCGTCGTCGTCATCATCATCATTCGCGTTGTTCTGGAGAGTATTAAGAACAACATCGTCGTCGTCGTCATCATCATCATTCGCGTTGTTCTGGAGAGTATTAAGAACAACATCGTCGTCGTCGTCATCATCATCATTCGCGTTGTTCTGGTGAGTATTAAGAACAAAACGTCATCATAATTGGCATCGTTGTGGCGAGTATCAAATACAAAATAAAGCCTCACCTATTCCCGATTGCCCATTCGCCTCCTCTTCCCCTCCCCTCGCCCCTGCACCCCCCCCCCCATCCCTAACGCTTTGTGATTCCGAAGTGTGGTACCCTCGATCGCGGTCACTCATTCCTCAGTCCTTGCACGCCCCTGTCAGCTAATAATAACAGGGGCTTGCACGGATTGGTTGGCTACGTACGGTGCGAAAGAAGTTCAAGGTACATGCATCTAATCGTTCTATTCTGTCACCGTTTTTTTTTACTATGTCAAGATAAACAAGCATACAATACACCACCTTGTATTGTATCATGCATTTTATAACCATATGATTATGTATGAAAGAGTTTTGCGTTAAACTTGGACCCATATCGTAAAGAGAGTTTAATTTGCATGTAAGATTAGCAGTTCACCGCCGTTGCTTCAAGCAAGCCTGACGCTGCTGATGAGACACTGCGCGTCGAAACCGGGTCCAGAGTTTTGCCCGTCTTGAATAAATGCTGCTGAAATGATGCACTCCCAGAACGGGAGGTCGCGCGGCCGATGTGTTGCGTAAGAAACACGCTTATTCTTCACGTGCAGAGACGGGTTATATGTGAAGGAGACATTGCTTATTTATTTGGACACCTTACGTCACGTGTCACCTCCGTTACAAACGAAGCGTATAATAATCAATCATCATACTTGGGCGTCAACATCAGACATGATCTATCCACTGCTGGGTGAAGCCCTCCGCGATCTCATCACTCCCAGCTCCGCACTAGATGTTTCCCCCAACTCCCCGCTGCCATTGCGCCACACGTCTCCACCATCCGACCGCAGAGGCAGTTGTGTGGTGATCGCGCCACGTGTCCGCCTACCTGTAGACTCCTTTTCGCGCACGTGGTCGGGCGGCTGGTCACGTGTCTGCTCGCGCACCTGGGCGGGTGGGTTGCACATTGCGGTGGAACAACTGGTCATGCACCTCACCAAAGACAAAGATCCCCCGTGTTGCCTTAACAGACTGTAAGGGCAAGTGCCGTTAGCGAGCACCTATAAAGGCCGGCACGGCACACGAGGGGGTGGGCGGCCAACACCACGCCCGGCCGCCTTCGTCTCCCTAGTGGCGATGTTTACACACCGCACCAGGTACTCATTTGAGGCTGAGTCGACCTAGGAGAGGCCCAGGGATCGGTCATGCACCTCACCACACACACACACACACCTGGTTCCACAGCTCAACAAACTCCGTATTACATACCTGGCCAGAGTCAAAGATCGCCCACCCGCTCCCCCTCCCCCCAAAGTAACAGACTGTCGAGGTATTGTGAACGAACACCAATTAAAGGTCTGAACGACGCACGAGCGGTTTTGGTGTTGGTACCTGGCCCGGCAGCAACCTCTGTCTCCCCACGTGGTGTTTACACATCGCACCGAGTAATCATTTGAAGCTGATAGGGAGGCGCAGGACCCGAGATCTGATACCATGACGGAGACTTGTGTTGCCTCCGAAACGTCGTGATTTATTATTTTATTTCCATTATTATTTGATTAGCTTTTCATTTAATTTTTTACCTACGTGACTTTACCGAAAAAACCTAAGAGTACCACTGTAAGGGATTCCACTTTGACACCACCTTGCTACTGATATTAGCCGTGGCCGGGATTCGAACTTGGATGGCGTTGGTTTGGAGTGCAGTGCGCTAACCACTGCGCCATCGCTCCTCCACTCCGCATGTACACAAATATGAAGACACATTCATCCACATATATAAGCATGCATATACAAAGACAGAGACCCCCCGTATAGCCTTAACAGACTGTTGGGGCAAGTGCTGTTAGCGAGCACTTATGAAGACCAATCATCATCAGTTCTAATTTCAAACACGACACACATCCCGTTACAACACGCGGTCAATGCCACGGTAACGAAATTCATCTCAGCGCGGAACACAAAGGCTTACAACCACACATCCGCGCCTCCGGTGAGCGTGGTTGGCTACGTACGGTGCGAAAGAAGTCCAACACACATGCATACAGTGCGCATCGCGCAGTGCGCTAACCGCTGCGCCACCGCTCCCACTCAACACGCTGCAGGTCGCAGACACCGACCTGGTCGCTTTCCGTTTCGTCTGCCTCCCCGCTCAGTCCTTGATCCATCGCGTCCTGTTCACACTTACAAACACACGCACGCACACGTGTGTGGTTCGACACGATGTCCGACGTTTCGCCGCACGTGCTCGGAGTTTCCCCATTGCGCGATTTGAAAATTCCGTTATTCGGAAGTTCCCAACGCGTGGTTGCGAAACGTCGGACATCATCACGCCGAATAGCACGCGGTACAAGATCGAAAACACAGCACACAACCGCGAGAACCCACAACAGTGAGACAATTGTCTTCTATCATTCACACAATGAATGGTGACTTTACCGAAAAAACCTAAGAGTATGAATTCTTGCAGTCACGAAAGCTTCAAATCTAGAATGAATGGTCACCCAGTGATCTACTGAACGGCTATCGAGTGCTATAGTAACACGTGCTTGTCTGTACCTATACTGAGTCTGCACATAGTTAAGCGTGAAGATACCCGCATAAGGAATAAATAAATACCGATATACTCTTCACCTTACCTGCTCTGCGTTTGAAATCCACGTCAGCGGGTGTAATTATAGGACGAACAATTGCGCTCGGGTCTCTATCATACCCCACGGTAAGGGCACTCCTCAAGTATCTGCCCTGCCGGGCAGCCAAGGTAACGAACGATACAGGCACTCCTGGGCACACAGAGACAAAGATCCCCCCCGTATGGCCTTACAGACCGAGCTGGAGGGAGGGAGGGAGGGCACGTGTTATGAGCTGTCACCTATCAACGCCGGGATGACGCACGAGGACGTGGGGTTGACAGCAAAAAACGCCCGGCCGCCTTTGTCTCTTCTAACGCTGCCTGATGTTTACACCTTGCACCGGGTTCTTATTTGAGAGGCTGAGTCGACCGAGGGTGGATGCCGTGGCGACAGGATCGGTTAACGTTTCAGCCGTCGCAGGGAATTGAACTAAGGTGGGCCAGGTTCGTAGCGCAGTACGCTAACCGCTACACTACCACTACCCCCACACACACAAATACAAAGACCCCCCCCCCTTATGGCCTGGACAAACTGTTGGGACAAGTGCCGTTAGCGAGCACCTATGAAGGCCGGCAGAGCACACGAGGGGGTGGGTGGCCAGCAGCATGCCGACACGCGCACACCCACACACGCACGCCACTAAATAATTCAGGAGAGTGTAATCCGATCTTTAACAGTCGTGGCTTGTGTCCCAAGGACACCAACGGAGCGCCCTAATTAATTGATAGCCGAGGTGGCAACACGTGGCATTTGGTTGCACCTGATGCGTTAATTGTCCACTGTGACACACCGGGTTTTTAACGTGGCCAACAAACGTGCGGTGCGTAACGATGATGGCGCAGACCCGCAACTGCCTTGCTCACGCCACTCCACTCGAGGGAGCTCAAGAGAGGGAGCTCTCGACTCAACAGAGCCCCCTCTTGAGGCGATATTGGCCTACTCTTCCACACTGGCCAGACGTCTTGTAAGAAGTGAGAGTACCCACACTTTACCCCACTACATTGCGACCTATATCGATCGCAATCCCATGCATTGTTTAGAGATTTGCTTTTCACGCCCAATTTGGTTTTTGCCCGCTCCAAAAAATTTAGGAATAACAGCTGATGGGTTTAATTTCAACCGGGGATAATATCTTGGCCGGAGACCCGCAAAATGTTTCTGCACCCGGCACACCACATTCAGTGTACTTCTCGCGACGGCTGTGGCATCGAGTCACGTTATACTGCAGTCGCCCGGCAACCCTTGTGGAGAATCCTGCAGCTATCTACTTACAGCCATCTCAAGCTCTAAGTTTTGGCCAAATCCATCACAAATGCAATTTTTTTACGAAGGATACTTCAGAGCCATTATGCAAACCCCGCACCTCCGATCAGCACGGTTGGCAACTTACGGTGCGCGAAAGAAGTTCAACAGACCATACGTACAAATGCATCCCGATATTATCGGTCTGGAAACCCAACACGCCGATGGACTTGACAAAAAATAAAAATGTGGAAAAGCCGAACGAAGGTGCACTTCAATTTGCTTCTTTTTTTTTAAACGCGGGGGCAGAAAATGCGAGCATCCGACGCCACGCAATAAATGAGCCGCTTTGTTGCCCAGAAAAGGGATTCTTAGAAAGCGCGGCTGTCTGTCTGCCTGCAGCCCCGAGGGGGAATGGGGGTGCCGCCACGATTAATATCCCTCCCCACGTCTCCTGCATGTCTCATTGATGCCGCACGCACGCGCCCCATTGTTGAGGCTCACCACTTTGGCGCTCGCTCAGCAGACGCATCCCATTAGCGGTAAGTCGGGTGGGAGGGGGTGGCACGGGGCCAGACGCGGATCGCTACGGCACGAAGCGCCGAGTCATCAGTGCCGTCAGTTCGGAAATTCTCGATCGCGCCGTCAGATAAACACAACGCGGAGTCGTGTGACTCGCGTGGGGGCAGGGGAGGTGCCTTGCTCCCCACTCCCCTCGGTGGTCAAAGGTACGAGTTTGGGGGGCCCCTTGGCAACCACCTTGAGATCTGTTTTCAACAAAAGTGTAAAAGAACAACGCATCTAAAACGCGGTTTAAATGTTCGACCCAGCTTAAATATACGCTGCCAAGCTTGGTGGTGCCCATTCAGACGCTGTCTTTCCGACAGCCCTGTTCTTCACCTGAGGACGGCTGCTTGCGTTGTGGCCGAAACGTCGTGAGAATTATTTAATGTTTTATTTTTTATTTTTTTATTATTTCCCTTCTACGTGACTTTACCGAAAGAACCAAGAAGACGAATCCCTGCAGTCACGAAAGCTTTAAATCGAAAAATGTTCGAGGCCGTGAGCGCAATGATGTGATTAGGTAAGCGGAGCCACGATTCATAGCCTCGGTGCGACCGTACGAGACAAATCAAATATTGGGACCACACCGGACCGATTTCCGCACCCCCCTGAGCTGATAATGTCTTCACTACGACACGGCTTTAGAGGTGGCTGAGCGCCGTGATCCTTAAGCCATAAAGAAGGGTTATTGCCCGAAACGTCACGTTATATAGTTGTTGCTCTCTTGGGAAGTGTTGTCGACCAGGTAACGCTCACTGAACGAAATAGCTCTTTTTCGCAAGCGACCTGGCCGTAAATAAAAGCTTAACGAAAGTGGGTTATCGGGTGTAAAATGTTAGCAGCCAAATACACTAAACGCATGTTTTCTAAATGTGGAGGGAAAAACCGAAGGACCCGGAGAAAAATCCACACGACCACATGGAGAGAACACACACACTCCCAGTATATCGGCGTCAGGGTCTGGATTGAACCCAGAACCAGGCGAGGTCGTAAATATATCAGCATCGTGGCGCCCAAAGTGTTGTTTTGTTTGCTATTTGTGCTTGTGCGTCACTGCCAACGCTGGCATCTGCCGAGATGCGGGGTTGGAATTGGGGTTTCCGACTGCCCGTCATTAAACACCGTGCTGCTCAAGTGCAGCGAGGCGATGGCCTCATTCCGGTCACAAATGACTGGACGAAAAGTTGATCGTAAATTGTGTTCACTTGATTTGGCTCCTTCAAACTGTTGAGAATTAACACATTTTTAGTTTGACAAACGAATAACACTTTACTCAAAGTGTTATTTCATCTTGATTTGAAGTTTTCGTGACTGCAAGAATCCATACTCTTTGGTTATTTCGGTAAAGTCACGTTGGTCAAAAAATACATATTAAATCACTGATTTATTAAAATAAAAAATAAATCACCGATTAATTATTTTTATTTTTCTACCTACGTGACTTTACCGAAAGAACCAAAGAGTATGGATTCCTGCAGTCACGAAAACTTCAAATCAAGATTGAATAACACTTTGTACAGGTCATATAAAAGGTGTGCCCTCTTATTATGGGTCAAGAGGTTTACTGAAGTGACCTCGGAAGCAGTTCCACTACAAACTTTTCTGGGGTCGCTCTTCCAACACAGGGTGGTGACACCAGCCTCGACCATCCTGAGCTCCGAATGTAAATTCCTTTACCTCGGCACGTCACCGATGGCACAACCGGAAAATACGTTTTGAGGTAAAGCAGCCAGCACTCTTGAAATCTCGTTTACCGTCGCTTTCATTTTTATTGGAAAAGGAAACAACCAAGAGAATAATCAAGAAACATTATAAAAAACAAAGTGTAAACTTTTTCCCTCACGAAAAAACATTTCACAAATTTATTCGTCAAAGAAACGGTCGATAAAAAAAATTCCAGACGGCAACGAGGAGCCGTGCAGCGTGGGTTTTGAAATGTTCCTTTGGTCTTGACACCGCAGTACTTAAAATTAATTGTTAAATAATTTTTTTATTTTACGAGTTTTATTTTGTTAAGAGAATGAAAGACACAACTAAGGGGCAGCTCAGTTCTAGCTGAACACAGCTCTCTCAGGAGTTATGACGAGTGCTCATATTTGTTCGATTCGCCAGTGCAGAGATGGGCAAATTACAAATGACCGATTACTCTTGAGGTGTGTAATTTAGATACCAGTTACAAATGTAATTACATTTATTTCAATTGCATGTACATTTGGATACAAATTACAAATTGCTTCGAGGAGCATGCTTTAAATGCAATTATAGATTACAAATGTAATGACATTATTTATTTAGATTACATGGAATTTCAATGCTGCCCATCTCTGCAAGTTGCTCGTGGCAGTCTGCTCCGGCCAATGGCGTCATTGGACTCCTTGGACGTGCCGTCCACACCGGAGCGCGCGCCCGCCCACCGTTCAAGCACCACCGAGTGACCTAAACGGGTGAAGCTTTGACCTTTCTCGTTAAGTTGCTGCGTCCGAGCCCAGGTGCGGCCGTCTGGGGTCAATGTGTCAACAGACACGTGTCCAGTCTCGCGTCGCCTCGAGTCGACTGCTCCCGGCGCACCGTTTGGCAAAATGCCCAAAGGTGGTTCGGCGGAACACTCGGCAAGATCGTCATCCAGGGTTCAACATAAAAAAAATCTCCGCTCAGGCAGAGCGCAGATTCACGCGGGGGACGCGAAAGGCTCCAGGGGCTGCAGGCCTGGGCCTCAGTTCTTGGAGGGGCCCGCCCCAAAAATCTAAAAAGATCGCTTTATAATGGTTGAAATGTAGTAACCCTAGTACCATGATACATCCTACTGGGAATGGGGGGGGGGGGGGTCATCAAAAGCCAAAGCAACAATGTGAGTATCATGACCAGTTGTGAACCGAAATCAAAATAGAGTCGTTTGTTTTAATTTTGATTTAGCTTTACCACCCGTATATATCACGTATAACAACCGCAACTGAAGGAACCAATGTGAATAATGAGGCGTTTGCCAGTGGACATACAATGGTTTGGTAAAACAGTGAGGGGAGATAACTGAACATACAAATGAGAAGCTCCCAAAGACGATAAGAGCTTCGGGCCACGGGCCCCCCTCGGATAACATTGAGCCCTCGGTGTCCCATTCGATCTCAAAGATGTGGCCCTCTCAGCGGGAAGCGGTGGAAAGTGGTGTGCAGGAGGGAGGCATGGTACAAATCCATCGCAAGGATTACTCTATTCTGATTGTCCCTTAAAAACGTAGTGCTTCATCATCCTTGTCATCATTCCCCACGATCAATCTGCAGCTGGATGAAGGCCTCTCCAAGATGATTGTTACATCATGGGACTGAGACAGTAACAATCCACCTTGCACCTGCACACGACCTTTTTAATCGCTCCCATCTCTGCAGCGAATGTTTCCTCCTTTGGCGGCAGCTCCATCCCCTTAATCTGAACCGGTGGCCAGACCGACTCCCCTTCTAGCGACCTCTTCTGCCCTAGCCTAAATTTCTTAAGGGGTCACAAGATGACGTTTTTAGAACAATGCGTCAAAATCACCATCGGCTCTTCTGCGCCGAAATCCCCCGGCCGCATGTCCGCTCCGTGGCGCCGCGCGCCGATTGTTGGAGGCAACGCTTCTCTGGCATCTCTGCTCGTGATTTAAGACGTTTCCCAGTGGTTGTGCATTCCACGATAATTTAATTACCACTTTCAAAAAGGTAATCCCACGTCGCAAAAATTTGTATTCAAAAGTTGCGATGGTTTCCCACGCTCGTACGGGCATGGGACGATGCTCCTCTTCTGTTCATGGCCTCGAGTCAGTGCTGTAAATTCCACATTGCTACGGCAGGGGTTGAGTCCATCCTTAGGATAACTGCCCTCGACTGCCACATAGCGGCACTCGTTCTACCAACCATGAATTTTTTTTTAAAAAGGGGTGCTTGAGTCAACCCCCGACTGGGAATCGAACTCGCAACCTTCCAAACTGCGAGCCACTTGCTCATAGCTACCACCTCACCTGTCGGGATTAGCGACTGACGTTGACCGTGGCCCAGCAGCACTGAGCCTGGCACTACCACGGGCCACCCCACGGTGCTCGAATCCATCTGGCGTTAATTAAAATTTTGTTACCCTGTGCCCTCACTGGCGGTGCCACTTTAAACACAATTTCCATCCGTCAGTCAGTGCCTTTGCGCGACACTGATTTTTTTCTGTTACGAAAGTAAAAAAATTCTAAAAAGAAAAACCCCCGGAACGCCACGTTGATTGATCGCTGATAAAAGTTTGACATATTAGGACCGAGCAAAGCCACCCTTGTCCGTTCCAAAACCGCTACCGGCGTTTGTCAGAGTGTTCGGCGCTCAGGCACGCATACGAGGAGTTTAAAACGTTTTTCCTTGCCTAAAATGTTGATCGTTGCGCCCGAACGACGTTAAGTGTCTGTCGGATAAAATAAGCACCTTGTTTAAAAAAAAAAAACGCGTCGAACACCAACATCCACTGCCTTTAAAAAACACTTGGCCCGTGAAAGCGAGTCACCTGGGTGGAGATGTTGGCCCGGATAAAACAAGGTAGTAAGCGTAATCGCACACGCGGCTCGCAAATACTCCTATGGTCTCGAGAAAGCACTTTTTGGGAAGAAATATATCGTAAAGTGCAAACTGCAATCCTGCAAGCCGTCCTCGCCCACACGCGATTCACACGCGAATCTTGTAGCCTTCCTCCATCAGGAAGTTCGGCTCGGGCTTCTTCTCAGCTGCCAGGGGCCTGGGGGAGATAAAGCAAAGGAGAAAACGGATTTTAAATGTTGCCAATGAGTCCATTAAACGTTGGCGATCATTGGAATAGCAGCGCAGCGGTTAGCGCTGGTTGCGCTATGAAGCTGGCCACCTCGGTTCGATTCATGGCCGTCGACAAATTTGGTGGCGAGTGACACCGGCTCTGGGTCCCATGTCCAGGCCCGTCGAGTCACTCGTTTTGCGTTGTTAAGTGCCCCACTGAGTGAGCAGCAGTGGATAGAGTAAGTAGGTGGATCTGTGAGTGAGACAGTGGGTGGATGGGGGGTAGTAAATCGGTTAGGGCGCTGTGCTATGTACCCGGCGACCTGATTCCCGCTGACGGCCAACACCAGTGATGATTATCTGAACTAGTCCTGGGCCTTCCCTAGGTCTACTCAGCCTCAAATGAGAAACTGGTGCGGTGTGTAAAAACATTGCCACTGGGGATACCATGACGGTCGGGTGTGGTGCTGGTCAACATACCCCCTCATGTGCCGTACCGGCCTTCATAAGTGCTTGTTCATGGCACTTGCCCCAACAGTATATGAGAGATGAGATGGGAATGTTAGGGAGAAATTAAGCGAGTCAGGAAACAAGCGAGTGGGCACGAGATTAGATGAGAAACTATGTGGATGAGTGAGGGAGAAAGTGAGCGAGCTAGTGCGTTAGCAGGTAAGTGAGGACAGGGGGGGGGGGGGTAGGCAGACAGGTGAGTGCGTTGAGCAGGTGAGCGAGCTAATTGGTGACCGAGTGAGAAACTGAATGGGTGAGCGAGTGAAGGAGCAAGTAGGGGAATGAGTAAGTGAGCAGATAAGTAGGTAAACGAGTGCATGGGTAAGCATGTGGATGAGCGAGTGAGTGGATGATTGGAATAGTGGGTGAGCAGATGGGCAGATAAGCAAGTGACAAGAGTGAGCCGGTGAGCGAGCGATCGGGTGGGTGAGTGGGTGAGTGATTGAGTGGATGAGTGAGCGAGAAAGTGAGTGAGTGAGTGTATGAGTGAGCGAGCAGGCGAGTGTGGTGATGAGCGGGCGGGCAGGCGACGGGGGGGGGGATACTCACAGTTTCTCCACCCTGCTCGCCCGGCGCTGCGGGCTGCCACAGGGCGCCCTGTGGGGGACGAGGTGGACGTGACGCTCTTCCTCCGCTCCTTACCGGGCGACACGGGCAGCGTTACGCCCTTCAGCACCTGAACGGCCCAATGAAGACAAACGAATGAACGAGTGATTCCAAGAACACAGGATGAGATGTTACTATGCTTTGTGCAAGCACTTCCAAGAGTTCATGAACAGTGAGCCTGGTGAAATTTGGGGAGCGCATCGTCAGTCGTGTACCTTTGGTTCCTGGGGTGTTTCGGCCTTTCACACTATACACCCTCCCCAAAGGCGGCCAGCAACAGAGTGATCAATCCTACGCTTGTGTCCCATGCCCAATTAGTCATAGGAGTTGCCTTGTTGTTGATAGCCAACATCACCATGTTGGCTATCATTCTTACCTCCCAACTTCACGATCAAACAACGGTGTGTTGTCCGTTTCACTAAATTTGTGTGCGTTACAAATAGTTTTATTCTTAATTATTTATAGCGAGGCCCGGAGCGTCACGTGGCACCTTCATGTCGCGCGCGTGCTTGTCCAGGTCCCTGCGGAGCTCCTCGCTGCTCAGGCGACTGACGTCCACGACCAGGTGCCTCCACTCCACCTGCGCACGACCACGACATCGCTTTAGCAGCGTCCGTGCGTAGATGCAACCACCTCCGCCCCCCGCCTAGGCCTCCCCCCAGCCCCCCACTCCTCCACCCTTTTATAACGATGCTAAAATAAAAATACCTTAAGGGATCTCAGAAGTAGTCGCGTGATGTCCACTTCCAATTGCGTTCTCTAACGCGGGGTCGCACTCCTGCGTTGGGCGGTGGAGGGTCTCGCGACACAACTTTGGCCAGATCGTCGCGGGACTGCGGCCTAACTCAAAACTAGATTGCAAATCAGCATACCGGCTGTGAAAACCGACCGCACGTTTAGAATACGTCTCTGTAGGAGGATCGAATTATCGGGGCGGTGGAGGATCAACATGTAGGAGGGCTTTCGCGACAAATATTATTATAAAAAAAAGATTTTTGGGATTAGATCGCCTAAATATAAATGTGTCTTTACCCCACCACCACCCGACACAGCCAATTAAGGAGGTTTGTCACGTAAACAAATTGTAAATATTGTGGGTTTCCTCTCCAAATCACCGGGGTGCTGAAGTAGTAACTAATTGATACGTTTTGTTCACGCGACAAACGTAACAAATTGGCTGTGTCAGGTGGTGGCTGGTGAACGACACATTTACATTTACGCGCTCTAACCCAAAAAACAAAAACCTTTATAATGTCGAGGAACAAACATTCGCCGAACGTTCACGTCAACGCGTCTTCCCGAGCAGCTGCCCCCACCTGCTGGAAGCTGCGCGGGTCGTGCGGCACGTAGAGCCCCACTTTGAGCCGCGTGACGGCGTGCCGGTAGCCGGAGTACGCCTGCCGGAAGTCGGCGACGAGCGGCGCGAGGCCCGCGTGCGTCGCCGCCTTGAACATGAGCTCGGGCCGGCGGCTCAGGCCCAGCGCCCCGTAGCGGCCGCCCACGCACACGCCGAGCACCACGTGGCGGAAGGCCGAGCCGCCGAAACGCGTGCGGAAGCTAAGCGGGAAGCGCTCTACGCCGGGCAGCCCGTTGGTCAGGTAGCTGAAAGGCGGAGGGGGAGAACGTGGTGGTGGCGGCGGCGGCGGCGTCCGTCAAGGGAGCTTTTCTCAGTGATGCCGAGACGGCGAATGCGCGGCAACGTTGTCATGAGAGCGGGCGGGCGGGCGGGTGGGCGGGTGGGCGAGCGAACGGGTGAGCGGGCGGGCAGACAGGCGTCACCCGATCCAAAATTAACGTAAACGTCTTCCGACCCGAACAAAAACACACGCGCGCATATTTCATTTTTTCTAATCTGAATAAGCAGACCCTGCACACACGAGCACTGCAAGGCAAAGGGGCGTGGGGGCTGCGGATCGGTGAACGTAAATTAGAATCAGAATATTTGTTGACACTGGAGGAATCCGATGAGCTATAAAGCTCTTTGTCACAGATGTCCAGTAGGGGCAGGTCAGAACGTTACAACAACAAACAATACAAATCTACGACAGGAGTGCAAACGATTGGAAAAATAAGCAAATCACTAAAAATATATACAAATAAAGCCAAACTATTTATTTTTTTTTCCAGGTAAAGCCCATTGAGTTATTTGCTTTTTTTCAGAAGCAACCTGGCCACAAATGATAGCTCAAAGAAGTGGCTTATCAACACGTGGAAGTTATAGCAGCCAAATAATTTAAACGTATGTTCATAAAGGAGAAGCCCTGAAATTGCTCGCTCACACCACTTCTGACGGAAGGCTCTCCCACTGGTAGGATATCCAGAGAACACCTCTTGAGAGCACTTTTGGCCTACTCTTCCATGATGGCCAGACGTCTTGGAAGGGGACACCTTACAACGGTTTGTGAATCCGTTAGCCGCTGTCCAGAGGCCTCGTTATGTGAGCGAAGTGAAGCAGAATTTACAACTTATTATAGAACGGAGAAATATCGCGGCTCAGCACTGCTTTGCTTATTAAATCTGATGAGATATGGCCCATTCAGCTCGATTTGATCACAATAAAATCCTAACCCTAATAGCACTCTGTAAATTCCTTATTCGTTTTGGCATGAAGTGTGATGGCTTACGAGAGTGCAACAAGGCACAATAAATATCGTATGGCAATGTAACATTAAGTGTAATGATAGCCGCACATATTGTTATATAAATAACTACGGCTGTGAAAGGGTTATTAGAGGAGATGATGGTAGTGATGATGCTCCACCAGTGTGGAACATACCGCTATGCAGTTTAGCAGTAACATTCGGTCATTTGACTGGTTGAGTAAATTAAATTGTACATTTATATTTAACTGTCAAGATGTTTTTTGATTCTCAGTGTCCGCCAATGGGAAACTGCTGTAAGCAGCAGCAGCACAACACAAATAAACGTTTTTTTTCTTTTCATGTAATTCAATTGTGACCGTTGTGCCGTGAAGAAGGGCCAGTGTTATTGACGAACGTGTTTTTTTTATATTTGTTGATCAAAACCAACTTGATTGACAGAGAGACGTGGATAATTGCAGCTCTTCAGTAAAAGGAAGCATTCTCCGAGGGGTGTCGTAAGACCGACCGCTGGAAGAGCCGTCATAAAATCCTACAATGTGGCTTTCGCAGGGCCCTCCCCATTGTGACAGGTGACTCTGCCGTCTGGGTCAGTAACGATCGGCCAAAGAATCTGAATCATTATTTATCCTGGAAGGATTCCGATGAGCGATGAAGCTCTTTATCGCACACGTCCAGTCGGGGCGAGTCGGCAAGCGATATCCACAACAAACAATACAAAAGATGATGCACGAGCACAAGTTGCTATTCATGAATAAAGCCATCGCATTGCCCCCACGCCTGGATTTAAATAATCAGCTATGGCCAATCGACTGCTGGATGAAAGGCTTTCCTCCCCCACAAGCCGTCACCACTGCTGCAATGCGGCACTCCCGCAATGCGGTAATCCACCTGGCGCTGGGATCTAATCGCCGTGAACAGTGCAGGGGGGGCGAGCACGCCGCTGCTTAGCGACCGCTCGTCAACCGGCACAGCGGCCGCCCCTCAAGCCGGAGGGATCGCGGCGAGCGAACCCGCCGCTGTCTTGGGCTCGCGTGTCCGCCCGTTAACAACGCGGCTCCCGGGGAGTGGAGGAGAGATAAAGGGAGAGGATGGGGGGGTTTGAGGAGCCCGGGGGCGCTACTCGGCACCAATGGGAATTGACTAAATGTCGGCTCGTCAACGGGCCGCGCTCGGAGACGCGTCGACCTTGAAGCCGGCAGCAGGGGTCAGCTGCGGCGAGGAGAGGCCCTCTGCAATACGGAAATCCTTAGCGGAAGGATGCCCCATCCGATAAGAGGGAAGAGCCTCCTTATTTTGTACGGAGTGACACAACAACAACAAAAACTGTAAAAAAAAAAACCCCCGTTACGTATGCATTTTAAATCGTAATGCAGGGTAAAGGTGCAGACCTGCAACTGCTTGCTCACGCCACTGCTGGCGCAAAGTGCTTCACGAGAGGGAGCCCCCTCAACAGGGTATTTGGTCTACTCCTCCACGCTGGACAGGTACTTTGGAAGAGGTGGGGAGTACCCACACTCTACCGTGTCACACGTGCCCCTGCTGATTGACTAACTGTGGTGAGCCCATTTTCACTGCTTGGTGGACAAGGGTGGTGGGGGGGTATTTAAGAAAAATTCCCCCATTGTTTCAACTGCCACGCCGGGAGATTGAGTGGAACCGGAGATCTCCGGAAGTCCCATGTGATAACCATTACAACCACGGCAGCATCCCGAAGAAAGATAAACATGGTAATATTAATACAGACTCTGTCTTCTCGACAGACCTGTTCTCCACCTGAGGACAGCTGCTTGCGTTGTGGCCGAAACGTCGTGAGAATTATTTTATGTTTTATTTTTATTATTTTATTATTTCCATTCTACGTGACTTTACCGAAAGAACCAAGAAAATATAATTGTTTTACTTCGTCAGGGCTTTATCGTTTAGTGGGAGTGCTGTCATCCGTAACACCGGAACAGAGATGGCATGCTTAGGACTTGTGGGAAGGAAAAATAAATCGTAATGACGTCTGCAAAACGCTTGCACTCTCACCAATTACATATTTTCTGCAAAACACTCGACACATTGGCACGGACGTGACCCGAGATTCTGTCCACGCGACGGGGAGCGAGGGAGAAAAGAAAAAGAACGATGCACAATTAACGTGAATGGTAGACCGACAACGGGGGGGGGGGGGGGCACTGGATGATGCTGGCGCTGGCCGCGGGCCATGGGATTCGAGTGATGCCTGACGCGCAGAGTGCGACGCTCAATCTCGGCCAGAGGCTTTTCATCACTCGCACTGACGCTTCCCCCCAGCGTGTCTGGGACAGCAAGGGATGACGACGATGGTTCACGACGATAGCGATGATAATAACAATGCCCCGTGTGTTTATTTCAAGAAAACCTGAAATGTCCTGCATTGAGATGTTTGGGCCCTTTTTTAGAGAGCGCGCAACCCGCGCGCGATGACATCACAGAGCCACTTCGGAGTTCCCAATCAGTGATGTCTCATCTACACCAGGGATGCTGCACCAAACCAGCCTGCTGTGCTGCAGAGAAAACGCTCGTGGTATGGCGGTCGAACTGAAATTATTTACAATACTTACTGGAAATTTTCCAAATTAAGTGAAAAGCTAAATTAAATTAAATACATATTTATGCACATCAGTGACTGGAGGCTTTAACAACTACAGGTGTCACGTGGGCAGCGCTCGGATGGCACAAGATCGCGACGAGCAGAGGCATTGGGGCTGCTCGTCGTCTGCGACACGGAGCGGACCAAGTAGGCGCCGGTGAATGGACCCAGACCACCAACTCGCTACGCACGACCACCCCGATTCGCATGGGAGCTGAATTCCAGATGCAAACCTCGGCTTTCCATGTAGTCAGCTAAGCGTCCCGACCCCCGAGCCACGCGGCCACCTCCGGTTGTCCATAGTTTTAGACGCTAAGGGGCCTGCGATGGGAGGGAGGGGGGGCGCCGCATTTTGGCGGCACCTGCCATGATGCGCGCGTCTCGGATTGCGGTTAATCCTGGCAGGGGGTGGGGGGAATGCTGGGAGCAGGGGGCCGACGGCTCGGCTACTCATGCAGCAAGGGGCCAAGGCGACACTCAAGCCCAAACCTGCACAGAATTTCAACCATGGTGGTGGCGTCAGGTGGAATGCGACTCGGTGCTGCGTTGGATTCACGTGGAGCTGAATTCCCCTTTGAGCCGACACATTGGTCGAGGTGTGTATTCGGGTTGTAATCCTCAGGTTTTGCGGCATTTCTGGAAACCAAAATAAAAAAAACCCGTAATGGGCAAGGTCGCGTGCGGTGGGGTAAAGTGTTGGTGCCAGGTGGTGATGGGGAAGAGTCCAGGAATGGTTCGCCACTGATGCTTAACCATAGCCGGACATCAAACACAAGTCGACGGATTTGCACTCCAATCACTTTTTGTATTGGTTTGTCGTTGTCGGTGGTTTCTCACCCACCTTCTACTGGACATCTGTGAAAAAGAGCTTCATAGCTTGTCGGGTTCCTCCAGTCCAAATAAAGATTCTGATTCTGGATTCACAGCACCGCGTGCTAATCGCCGCAACCACGCCGCTCGTATATGTCGGTACACGCAGTGCGTGCCTATGCTGGCACACAGGTTACACGCGCGCGCGCGCTCGCTCGCTCCCCGGTGCGTGCACGCGTAGCCCGAGTGAGCGACCAAGGCAGGATACATTGCGAGGATGACAGCCTCCAAGCACTTAATGGGCAGCGCCTCCCGCACCATGTCCCGTGCCAGATCCATTAGCCTGCACGCAGTGGGGGGGGGGGGGCAGCAGGTGGGGGGGGGGGGACACACATGCACCTGGCAGGATTAATTCACAGCCCCTTTGTCAATCCACTGCTGAATTAAAAACTCCCCATGCTATGTCAGTCTTGCATGTTTGTTGACCATACTTAATCAAATACTTAGTGTGGTTTGGTGAAGAGAATGGTGGGGTTTGGGGGGCAGAGAGGTGAGAGGGTGAGGAAGCTAGGACCGGTTCAGATATCACTGCTGTATATTCCGGGTTGTACCGCACGTTCTTAGGCACGACGTTCCACCGACGTTAGCCGTGGTTGCGAATCAAGTTCAGGTCGCCGAGTTCATAATGAACTGTCCTGACCCACCACACTGCCACTCGTCCCCGGGTGGTAAATAAGCAAACAATTCTCATAAATACATTTGTCCGATGCACAATTCGTCACGCGAACGTAAAAATCCATGACAATCGATGAGCCCGTTAACCAAGGCAAGCCGAGTGGATGAGCCACCGTTCGCGGCAGGCGCCCATCCAGAGGGGGTTGCGGGCGGCGGTGTTTTTCTTGTTTGTCAATGACGGCAGTGGTGAAGCATTTTCACACTCGGCCTACACAGGGTGCTTTGCCAGTTGGGTCAGAACTTGGGGCTGCTTTTGATGTAAAGAATGCAGTTTGCCTTTCTTAAACATTCCAGCGAGCGAATGAAAACAGCTGCCGCCGCGTTGGCGTTGGTCGGCCGAGCACCGCTCTCGAACTTTAGAGCGGTAATATAGAGTTCACTCGTTTCTAGAGAAACAACAACGAAGAAAGTATCATTTAAGCTTTCTCCGCAAAACATTTGGGGCGGAATGGGTTGGCGCATCGGTTGCCGCGCCGCGCTACGAACTTGGACCACCCAAGTTTGACCCTGGCTATGGAGAACATCAGTGGGAAGTGATATCAAAATTGGTCCTCCTGTCCCTACCGCTCCCTGCCCGCCCACTGTGGTAAAGCACAGGTACAACAAAAAATCCCCACGACCAACATTATATGGGGAGGACTTCATCCACAGAAGGATTGTGAATGACTGGGTTTAATTTTTAAATCCTTTAAATTAAGTTCACTTGCTTGCTTGCTTGCGCGCTTACGACCGTGCAAATCTTTCGGTCGTTTTTTAACCCACTTCCTGTGATCCAATCGAGCTGACATTTTCCACACAGACTCGTTGTGCGTGACAATTTATTTTAGTGAAATTTTTTTTCAAAAATGTTACACTTTTTAGGAAAAAATAAATTATATTTAATTACCAATTGCTTAATGGTGGCAGGCAATCATCTGACCCATAGGTGGCAGCCATCTCAAGCCAGAGGACGAGAGGACTCTAGCCGCCACGCATATAAAGGATTTATAGTGAAAAACTTTGTTTTTACGGGTTAATTTTTTTCATCTCAAAAATGGCCCATGGCATACAACAGTCGTGGGGTGTGGTGGGGGGGGAGATGGAGAGGGGGGAGCAACAGGGGCCGTCCACCGCCCTTGCCGGGGGAACGCCTCTGGAGCTGAGTGCATTGACGATGATCGTTAGCCAGGTCTGGCGGCGAGCGAGCGGGCGAGGAGGAGGAACACATTACTTACCCGGCGATGGGTCGATTTTTCCTGATTTCAAAGAACTGCGTTCCCGTGTGGTTGTATCTGAGAGCGGCGAACGTTAAGCGGGTTTCCTTGGCAAACTGAAACGGCGCCTCGAGCTTCTTTGCTCTCACATCCTAGACAAGATTTTACCTCGCAGGGAAACGACATCAGAAAGAAAATGAAATAACCGCCGCACATGCCGGCTTGCGCTCACGTCTGGCAGGACAATGGACACATCAATTAACGGACAATGGTTTTCAGTTGTTGTTGAATATTAAGACATCGTGTCCCATTTAACAGTCAATGACAATGCAATCGCTATTGAGACGGGTTCTCTCATAACAAAGCGTTACTTCCCCCATATGTGTATTTCTTTGCACAGAAAGAGCAACTCTAAAGTCATCTTAATCGCCTTCAAGGAAGCTGCATCATCATCGGACATGGCCAATCCACTGCTAAACGAATGCCGCCCTGAACTACTATCACCATCTCCGACAGTCCCAAGGATTTCCGCGCTCCATCTCGAGGGCGTCGTCTGCTTTTCTCGCTTCTTGGGAGTAAATCGCGTTACCGACGAGGTTTCCGTCACGTGGGGACCGAGTCACTGAGCCTCGGACGAATGAGTGTAAAAAATTATCTTGATTTCTTTTTTAAGGATGGACGATCAGCCACCGAGATAATCAACGCTCGGACAAACGAAAGCAATAACAATGCGCCGGGGCGCGCTCACGGACAGCAGGAAGGCATTCCCTCTAGTCACATCATTTACGGGGAGTGTTGGATTGAAGGATAGAGCGGGCAGTTAGCTGGAGATCCAAGTCGATATAGGATACTGGAGGTCCATCATGTACTTCTGTATGGCTTTAAGGCGGTCCAGCATCGCCACGGCGGGCAGCAGCGTTGGCAGGGAAGGCACGGGCACCTGCGTGGCAAGAGGGCGAACGCACCAATTAATACCGTGGAAGAGACCGCAAAGGTCATGTTCTCATCCACTGCTGGATAGAGACCTCCCCCCCCCCCAAGCCGTTGCCATCCCCCACGGCACCGTGACCGCACGATTCACGTGAGCACGTCTCACCGCTCCGTCTACGCGTTGGGCGTTCCCTCGAGCGAGTCTCCTTCGTACTCTTAGTTCTTTCGGTAAAGTCACGTAGGTAAAAAATGAAATTAAAATTAATAAAAATAAAACAATAAAATCATGACGTTTCGGAGGCAACACAAGTCTCCGTCATCAGGTGGGACCGTCACAGCCAGATTTGCTGCATCAAGTGAGGGGGGAGTCTCCTTCGCTAAACGTGAACTTCGTTTTCAGTTTCAAGTTTTCAGTTAATTTTTTTTATTTAACCATGTAGGAAGTCAAGAGATCAGGATAAGTCGAATTTTCAAGAGTGACCTGGGGCATTGGTATGCCAGTAGGGGGTTGGGTGGGGGGGGGGCGATGATTGCTGCTGTGTGAATAATCCGAATTGAATTTGGCAAATGTGGACCCTGACGCTGGCACGCAATGGCAGACTAACGTCAGGGGATCTTCAACGTCCCTCGTGAAGCAGACGGTTATTATACGCCGCAGTATTGACCAGCGTGACCGCTGGACCGAACCGTGAGCCTCTGCAACGAGCGGCGAGCGCCCTGCCGCTGGGCCCCCTCTCGCTTTCATCTGAAACTGGCCACCAAATTCTGCGAGAGCAACGGCTTGCCCGTCTTGCAGAGGGAGAGCGTGCGAAGACAGAGCACGCGTGCGCCCGAGATTGATGAAGAAGGCTCGAACACACGCACACCTCCGATTAGCTACGGTTGGCTACGCACGGTGCGAAAGAAGTTCCACATACTGGAATGCATGCACTGTTGTTGCCCTCTCTGTATTTTTCCAAATTATTTCGGTGGGTCATCTGTAATTGTATCACCCTGTGTAAAACTGTACGCACAATTTGAATTTATAAAGCGGCTTAACGTGATCGCATTTGAAGCTGCTGTGCATGCAGGAAAGCGTGCGATGTATGAGAATGTGGGGGGACGAGGAGGGCATCCTTAATGTAATTGTGTGTTCGCTTTGTATGTGTCACACAATAGACATCCTCGCAAATAAGATGCTCCATCTCAAGGATGTATTCAGGGTGAAATATTTTACGTAAAAAAACACATTTTTAATTGAAGGTGAAGCGGAGGTCATGGAAAGGAGGGTTTGGACAGATGGAAACTGATCAGTCATAGGCAGAGGAGAACAGGGAGGCACTAAGCCTGGACTGGAACAGCAATGGAGTCAACAGTGCAGAGGACCAGAAGGAGTTAGAGGTTGTAGGAACAGCAGCAGAGGAGCAACACCACATTGAGTGGAGGAGGCTGACTGGAAAAGAGAGCATGTGGTAGGGAGTAGAGTGAGATGAGATGGAAGGTACGGGTCGTTGTGGAGGGGAGCAGAGTGAGATGAGAAGTAGGAGAGTACGTGGAGGGAAATGTCATGATGTGAAAGGGGAGATGTAGAAGAGTGGATTGAGCGGAGTAAAGGAATACGAGAGGGAAGAGACATGAGGCTACGTGGAGTGAGAGGGGAGAGTCGTGAAGGCACGATGGGTGATGTTGGAGTTGAAGGGTGATTGGATCGGGGGCCAATGAAGCGATCTGAAGACTGGGTGGGGGGTTGATGTGCTCTCATTTATATATGCGAGCGAGGAATCTCGGGAGCGGGGATTCGGTTAACAAAAAAGAGGTCCATTATCATAAGAGCGGACGTATGCAAAAGCAAGGTCGCCTTGACCAGAAATAACATCAGCATCAGCATTGATTGCAGCCGGCGCACGGAGCTCGGGTTAACGAACTCGGCGCTTGAAGGGCGCGGACGACCGCTGGGAACGCGAGACGTGCCGATCGCTGTCCGTGGTGCTTACTGAATTAGTGGCAGCGAGGCGGTGGGCCGCGGTGCGATTAACGACGCACACGCTCCAGTGCGGCGGCGACGACGTCAGCAGCAACGAGAATTGTTTTTTAAACAACAACAACAACATTAAATTTCGATTTAAAGCTTTCGTGACTGCAGGGATTCATCTTCTTGGTTCTTTCGGTAAAGTCACGTAGAAGGGAAGTAATAAAATAATAAAAATAAAACATAATAAAACAATTCTCACAACGCTGTCTCCCCGACAAACCTGGTTTTCACCTGAAGACGGCTGCTTGCGTTGTGGCCGAAACGTCATGAGAATTGTTTTATTATGTTTTATTTTTATTATTTTATTACTTCCCTTCTACGTGACTTTACCGAAAGAACCAAGAAGATGAACAACAACAACCGCCATTCGCCACTAAGTAGCGGTGACGTCACCACGACACTTGTGCCAGGCCAAGTGCACCTTGAGGCCACGTGAGGCGTCGAACGCCCGCTGGCAGGAGGTCACGGGACAGACCCAGGTGCCACGGGGCGACTGACTGAGATGACTGGCTGATGCACCACCTGTGCCCCCCGACTGTGCCAACTTGCTGTGCTTTAGCCACTCGGCGCTCCGCTCGTTGTTGTGAGCGTCGCTCCTCCGCCCTCTGTTGTTGTTGGAGGGCGACTACCTCCAACTGCCCAGTAGCGTCCTTCACGAGCCTCCTCCACAGAGGCCGATCTTGACACCGCTGGTACCAGTCATCGGCAAGTCCACTCAACTCCACGTCCTTCTGTACCACATCACTCCATCTCTTCTCTAGCCCGTGCCGCGTCCGTTTAGCCCCCTCGAGCACACACACACACACACACTTTTAGCTGCACTTGTAACTGTCTGCGAATTATATTCAGTAACATGTGTTAAAATTGTTAGAATATTAAATGATTATTTTTGGCTGCTACGCAGGAGCTCGTGGGTTCAATCCCGACCCGGACGACGCCTGTTGCATATTTGGAGTTTGTGTTTTCTCCCCGTGGTGGTCGCGTGGATTTTTTCTCCGGCTTCTCCGGGTTTGGTCTGCACATTTCAAAACATGCGTTTCGTTTATTTGGCTACTCAGAAAAAAAATCCCCCACACGTGTTACAAGCCACTTCGACGAGCTATTGTGTGGCCAGGTAGCCTCCTGCAAAGGAGCTATGAACCAGATATTTGATAATCAAGCCGCACTGCTGCCCTTGATGCTTTATGTTAACTATCTTGGTTTATATTCTTGGTTCTTTCGGTAAAGTCACATAGAAGGAGAATAATAAAATAATATAAATATAAAAAAACATTAAAAATTCTCACTGGGTGGGGGGTGATGTGGTCTCATTGTTTTATATTAATATTATTTTATTATTTCCCTTCTGCGTGACTTTACCGAAAGAACCAAGAACATGAATCCCAGCAGTCACGAAAGCTTTAAATCAAAATATCTTGGTTTAGTTTAATCTTCTCTTCTGGTTGTGTTGAAGGGCAACTTGTATCACACCAGCCCACAGGTTGTTTCCCGTGCTCAGGGAGACCTTCATTCAGCAGTGGATGATGGGCTGCGTTATAAACCCTTTCCCATTCCGATGACGTACGTTTGCATAATCGGGTTTTCTTCCGGAATCGGAAGTCAACGGCCATGTGGGAGGGTTGTGTGGCACAGTTTGGCGCTATCTATCATAGAGTGCGGTCGTGTCGCTATAGTTCTCTGCGGTGAGCACAATGTCTTTAAATACAGCGGCGCTATGCATCTAAATAAAATGTAACGCTAACCGCTTGTGCGTTCCAAGAGTCAGCGGTGAACGGGACACCCCACCCTGCAACTTGCAGATGTCTCGGAACGGGAATGGGTTAACCAGCTGAGGAATGGGACGCATCTGGCAATCTGGGTCAGTCGTAATGAAATCAATTCCCCTCCATTCAGTATCTCCACGTAAGAATATAATTTTATTGTAGCGCGGTATTAACACTTCCCCTAGCTAATGTTAAGCAGCAGCAGCATTGGTCTAAAGCAAGTGAACTCTAGATTGGTTTCACCCATCTGGGTCTGATCAGCAGGGTCAGGGCTTTTCCAAACAAATGCTGTTGTTGTACCAGATGTTATTGGTAAGAGCACTCCCTCTTAATGATGAGAGCCTGTAAATGCAAAAAAAAATCAAGAGATGTGGTTTAGTACGGGAGTAGACTTGCTATATTTGTCGTCTCATCTTTGTACAGTATAATTGCAAACATTTTACTTTAATTGATTCACCAAAGCTACAATTTATGTAATTTTTTTGCGGCCTGTAATATCTTCAAAAAAATAGCCAGGCACATACCTGCAATCCAACACTCTGGAAGCAAGGATTGGTGGATCATGGGTGAGATTTTCGACGTAAAAAAAAAAAGACGATAGTTCAGCAAGTTCGTTTACGAACCTATCTCTGCCCACCTCTTGAGGGCCACCCCCTCCACATATGCGTGGAATTGGACAATCATCTCAATGTAGTGGGACACTGCTGAGAAAAGTGTTTTCAGGCGAGCTGAGGCCTTCCTGAATAAAATGGAATAATTACAATCTTTACTAGCAAAGGATTATATCACTTATGGTCATGCAAAAAAATATTTGTCATCGTCAACTCCAATATTATTTATAATAATAAAAGTCATATTCATCGTCATCATCATCAATGCAGGACAGCCCCTGAAGAAGTGCCCGATTTGTGACGTTATCGTTATTAGAAACAATTATGAAGCAAATATTTACAAAGCGCACGTTTAAAAAGAACACGGAGACTCGGTGTCTCGGTGTCTCCGCCATGTACCCATGCCACCCCCTCCCCACGGAGCTAATCCTGGCTCTCGGCGAGCACACGGACCACGCTTCACCACACACACGCCACATCGCGACACTTGGCAATCATGCGATCCACTGACAGGACTTGGCCAAAGACCAACTTGCGATCGCCGACAATTTATATTACCAACTGCGGGGGCCTCTGCTGAGCAACTGCGAATATATATTTATAAAAAAAAAACACACAATGCCCG